TCACAAGTCATTTAAGTTTAAAATTACGGCGAAACAGTTTTATTAGAAATTATTGAACTTTATAATCAAGAAATTATAATTTAGATAGCTTTCTAATAAATTTTTTAAAGTTTTATGGAACGATAAAAGTATTTATCATTAAACGTGACTTGAGTTATCGCACAATACGAGAATCGTTTAATCTGAAAACTCATTACATACTTATAAATTATATATATCCCCTAACTATGTAATGATGTGATACGGACAAAGCTAGTAAAACGGCGGTGTTAACATTGTATTTGGGGGCGCAAACGTGTTTTGCAGAATGCAGAACTGTTGGAGGCCAACGAACTGCGAGATTTTAAATTTTGTAAGAGCAAATAAAAACTTAGTACGCAACACAACAATCTAACACTGATGCTCCACAAAACGATATGATTTCTGCCGGTTAGCAGTTAAAACAACCTATTACGCATTCTGGATAAGTATCATTACAGAGGGCCAAACGAAATATCATATTTTTAACCGTTTCAACATAAATGTGGCAACTATCGCAATGTATTCTTGTGTTTTTAATTTTAAAATAGACTTGAAAATTATTAGAATAGGCAATGATAAGATTAACATCGTCATCTGTGAATGAAAATCCCTAAATATACGAGAGATTCCTTACAACCAGTTACAACGAAAGTAGACAAAGACAATACCTATCTTACATCCGTCAACTTTTTCATAAATGTTGTCCCTTAAATCGTATTGTAATAATTTCTAGTAGCAAAGACCCGAATGTTCACGTGTTGCAATAGTTACTGATTAGTCACTCTAGCCCTCTGTGCGATATAGTTTAAAGATAACACACTACCAGCTCACGTTTAATAAATAGGTACACGATAAAAATACGTGTAATACTGTCAAGCTTTAGAGCATTTAAAAAATCCGTTAGAATCATACAGTATATAAATGGGCTTATGTTATTTTCTATGAGTAAAAGTTAATCTTCCAATCAAATAGAGATTTCAAATAGTAATTAGCTATTTTTATTGTTTCTTTTCCGTTTCTTCTAAACAAGATCGGGTATAATAAAAAAGGATTAAAAATTAACACACCGAACATAAATTTTATATGACACTATGGCTAGATAGTAACAAAATAACCTTGCATGTTGACGGCCCATTTTAAATTCAAAACCAGTTAAGGCAAGTTTGAGATGGATGAATTTTTGACACTGCAGCTTCTCAACTCGGCGTAAATCATAAAATATTTAAGTGCCTATTAAGAGACTATGTAGCCATTTGGTATGTAATAATCTAAAAGTATTAAGGATCTTGAGCTGATGTCGTTGTACTAAATACAATTCGACTTGCGGAAAGTCTTCTAGGTCACTCATTTAAGTCTATCGAACAAGTGGCATGAAACAAATCAAATTCTGTGACGAAGATCCATTAACTATAATATAATCTTTCATCTTTTTTAAATACATATATCTTTTTATCTTCTTTCTGATCCCATTGTCATAGTGTTGATAAAAGAAAAAAGACAACAGTAATAAACCGCCATTCGTTATTTTGAAAGTAAATATAAAACAGGAAGCGAAAATACATTTATTTTAGATTTTAAGCCACTTTTGTAGATAGCGATGTGTTGTTGGAGTTATTTAACAAAAAATGTTTGCTTCCTTTTACACGCCATAATTCACTGTGATAAGATTTTTATGTGTTATCAGCAAATGTAGCTTTAAGAATTGTTGGTTTAAGGAAAATTAAATGCAGCAAGCCACAATGTTACCACATTTGTTGATTACAGCTGGAGGCAATTTAACATAAATGATTATTTTCCAATATGTTTTGCAACGGGTAAAGTTATTTTATAACACCCTAAAAGTTTATATGTGTCTATACGACGTCGTCTTTACTATACGCCGTTTGTTTTGTTAATGGCGTTAAGGGTATGGTTAAGTTTTAATTTAAAAGGTTATTTTAATGTATGTGCGGAATAGCGCTAAAATTTAAATTTCTCTTGGTCATTACGATCCTGCATTGAGTTGTGTATTAATCTTTCATAATAACTATCGATTTAGTGAAATTGCTGGTATTTCAATTAAAAAAATATCAGGGCTATATGTCAACTACTTTAGACTGCTTTCTTTCATTACCATAAACAATGGCGCGAAAAATTACTCTGAGACTATTATTTATCGCCCGAAATAAGGTCAAGGCGAGGGGCTGGAACCGCAAGGCGGATTTTCAATATACTAGAACCAGTCTAAATTTCATAGAGTTGTCAAATTTATTTATTCTAAATAACTGTTAATAAGAAGATAATACAATGTTAAAAAATTCAGAACTATTTCAACCACTTACTACATTCACATGCGAAAATGCATCATTTTCCCCCTTTGATTTTAATGTATTTAGTAGGTTAGTTTTTTTTAGTAGGTTCTGAATTTAACAATTTATATATATTTTTTATACAACGCACTGGCTAAATTTAAGTGAAAGGAACGTGAAATTATTAATAATACAAAGAAAAAGTACTTTTGCGAATGTAAGAATAGCCGCGGAATAATTTTAATACGTTCTAGTGAAAATTTAATGGTCAGAGGTTATTTTTAAATTGATATCTTTTTAAATATGATGTATTTCTATTAAATACAAAAAGGTTTACTGAACAATGTATAAGTTTCACCCAAAATTAATTAGGAATCGATTGTTCGACTCTTATTCCAATAATAAGCTATTGGTCCCTATGTAAATAACATGCAATTAAACTAACGTTAGATGAATGTACCCAATAACTTAATACTGAAATCATAGCTCGCACCTTTAGAATTAAAGGATCCTAATTATGAAAATCATGATTTTGGCTTTATGTCAGAAAACGTCCTAAAACGACCACCTATTAAAACATGGGCCGATTTAAGAAAGCTACATAACATAACGTATACTTCTGTCTATTTCACTTTCCCCAATTAGCGCGTTTGTTTGTTCATAAGTTCCATCAAATCCTTATTTTACGTTTCTCAAAAATTGATATTTTTAAATAGGTCACTATAATTCTAAAGGCGCGAGTTATTTAAATAGATGTCAAACTAAAATATTGTAAATCGAAATGGATTTAATTGTGTTATACATATTTTAAAACAATGTTTTGGTGATTCATATCATGAATATTTCACTACACATCTTTCGGCATAAGTTGTTAGTTATCTGCTGAAGATCATCCGAAAATGTATATATGGCTTAGAACACTTGCAAAAAAGCCGAACATAAGATACTTATTCCAATTATACCTCCAAAACTAGTGCTTTATGCAAAAAAAATGAATAAATTACTGTCGTCATCATAAAATTCCTGGGCGTTTTAAGGCCCATTTACACGGTGCCAGTTTCTTGCCTGTTGTATACAATTAAATTGAAGCAATAAATGAGTTGCATGGTCTAAACAACAAATGGTCTAAACAATTATTGCGCGCAATTTATTGCATTCAATTATTGCTCTTGATGTTCAAGAAAATGGCATCGTGTAAATGGGCCTTTAATGTTGTAGCTAAGATTCGATCAACATAAGACCCTTTCCCTCTTTTTTTTTTTGTTCAGTTAGAACTTGATGAGTCTGCTACAACCAAAAATTACCTAGTCTTACTAAGAAACACATAGCGAATGATCCGATTATGAATGTACAGTATATAAAGGCGTTATAAGACTTGTAATTATTATTAACAATACTTATTACGTCAGCGGCCACAATTAATTCGCGGTGAAACACGTTCTACGATGGCTACGATCCGTTTTAGATGGCGTTTAGAATTCGAAATATTACATCAGATTGCCTTTATGCACGTACACTTAGCAATTCGATTGTCAATATCTTAGAGTCCACGTCTTCGTGACGCATCGCAATAAACTTGTCGCTTATGGGGGTTCACGCCACTTTCCTTTCAATTGTTCACATAATCGAATATTTGGTTATAAAGAAAATAAGACCTGTATCATAAGCAAAGATAATTTCATCTTTCAAGTTCATTATTTTATTATAGATTATGATAGCCTATATAATACTGATACAATTTTATACCTAATTGGGTAAACATCATGTTTTAAATATAATGCTGTAAGTAATTTAATAGCGTAAACTGCTACTCAATTCGTCCTTAAATAATGTTTCATTGTTATGTTCTCTCAACATTGAAGCATTTGGATTATATCTAAGTAACAGGAAATATGGTTAATGAAGCAAATGAATGTAGTTTTAATTAACAATGTCTACAGGTTATATTATTTTTCTATTTTGTGCTGATAAGCTTTTGTTAACTGCTCTTACATTAAAATAAAATTTATAGAACTGCGGGCTTTGTATGTTTGGATCGCACTATAATAATACATTCTATTACATCTGATAGATTTTGAACATTAAATTTTTGATAACTTTTTATTGCAATAGATATTTTTATCCCAATATGTAAGTAATTTACATTATCATTGATGATTTTATATCTAGATGACTTTTTAATAGGGTAATTTATACCACAATTATTATTGCTGTGGAAATATTTGATGGATTGTGGTCGGCATCAAGATGATAGTTATTTTATCATTATGTGCGTACTGTAAATTTACTAAATAATTACTTCAAATAATCTTTTAAAGCGTTGTTTCTTTTAAGTTTATTTTGTTATTGTTGTGTGATGTATAGCTCAAATATGAAACAGAGCACTTGTACTATGATTCAATGATTTATTACAATATAATTCTATATGTACATGCCCTCAACAGCGAAAATCAATTATAAAATAGGTACAAAGTTTATAAATTATGAACAAGTTTCAAAGCAGAAAGTAAACATGAAACGCAGGAATGTCGTCAATGTACTTCGTGCAAGGATCATAGGATATGGGACTCACTTCTCTGATCACTGAGTTTGCTTTGGTACCATCCTAAATGCATTAGCCTCGGCGCCATCAGGCGCAGTCAGCTCTGGAAGTCACACGCTGGCCGCTCTGCCGGCCTTGACCGCTAGCTAGAGGGCAGCAGACTCAGGGGCCATTAAGGGCGACAGGGGACCTGCCACACGCCGTCCGCGCTCAACTTCGAATCGCAAATCAGCCGGTACTCGTCTTCCACCGCCAACAGTGCCATCTTCGGGCAGAAAAGCTGCTACTAAGAGTGCACATATAACCAGCAGTGCTCCCAACACAAATGGGGGCCCTGGCACCATTCTCACGTATTTTTCATCTGGCTTCCCATCTAAACCAGTCACAGCATGCTCTTCATTAAGATCCACATGAAATAGGTAAAATATAACACCAAACATGGCGGGGCCTAATCCATTGCACAGTCCTCTCACTCCAGTGACCATGCCCTGCACAACCCCTTGACGATCTGCACGGCTATTAACTGACACATAAGCACTGATAGCAGGATATGTTAACGATCCAAGTGCTGCTAGAACTCCAGCCGCCCACATCATCCACGTACGACTTCCAAAGCCATACCACATAAGCTGCAGCATCTCAAACAACAGTCCAACCATGATTGTGTGTTTAGCCCCAAGTGACCGCATTAGGAAGCCTAGCACAACCTGAACTGCTATGCTGAGCACTCCAACAATTGCGATAAATATTGCTACTTGCACAACACCAAAGCCCATCACTAATTTTAAATACACAAATATGCAAGAATACTGTCCGGCTTCCGGTAAGTACGAGAGAAACACGGCAACACACAACATGAGCACTGTACGCTCCGCACCAACTTTTCTTAAAGCCGCAAATGGGTCAGCCTGCTCCCAACTGATAGCAGGCCCCCAGCCGCTGGGTCTGACCTTTTCCGGGAGGCTCTCGGGTACAGCGACCATAATGAAGAATACGTCGAGCACGGCGACGGCCGTAGCGGCGGCCACGACCAAAGCCTCCCCGTACAAGTCCATTAGGTAGGCGCCAAGGGCGGGTGATATCACCATGCTTGCTGCGAACGTAGCAGACACCAGGCCGTAGGCCCGCGAGCGTTCCGCTTCCGTAGTCACGTCAGCCACGTACGCGAACACAATTGAAAAAGTCACCGCGAACACACCGCTAATACTGATCATCGCGAAGAACCACCAGGTGTTGACCGTCATCAGCGGAATCGGCGCGCACGTGAAGAACACCGTGACCAGCAGGAAGAACTTGCGGCCCCACACGTCGGATAGTGCACCAATGAGAGGCGCCGACAGGAAGGATAAAATGCCCTTGATCCCCATTATAAGGCCGTTCATCAAAAACGTATGGTCCGGGAACGTAGCGTTCAGCACTGATATAATCGGCATTGTCAGTAAGCCCCATGCGAAGAACTCCAAAAAGATGACAACCAAAGCGTGGAAAACCGATGGATCGCCAATGCCCGACATTGTCATGATCCCGTCTTTCATAACAGTTTTTCTGTTTCGTATCACCATTTCTACTTCGGTTTTTGTAGTCTTCGTGGGCGTCATTTAAGATTTAATCGATTTGTTTTCCTACTAAACTACTTATATTATACACATATTGAAAACCTAAGCACTACATTGATGAATACTCTGAAGAAACGCGTTAATACCTTCAACGTCAAATCTTCACTGAAAATTGAAAAACAACTCGATATTTGTGTTGCTATGCTGTAAACATCATAAACAACGTCATCTATAGTACTGTGATGAACTTTTACAAAATGCATAGATTTAATGTCAATACCGTTATATTTATATTTCTTTATATTTATCATAAATAGTATTTTCATATACTATGTGTCTATATTAAAATTCTATAATGAACATGTAGCAACATCATCGCCCTTTTTACGATAAATTTCAACAAAGATTTTCAAATACAATATACTGAGTAAGTAAAAAATTAATTTAGGTAGGACTAAACATTCCTAAAATAAAGAAATCTTATTGCTACAGTTAACGAAGATTTAAAGCGAAACAATTCTTGGTCGAAATCGTGTGTACTCACGCTTGCCATTTAATCACGGGCAATAATTATTAGTACTGGGTATGCTAGAGAAATTCGATCAATTTCTCTACATGTCCCCCGTAAAGATACGCGATATACTTAAGGGTATATCGCGTATCTTACCCTTACACTGACACTATCTAGATCTCGGTATAATAATTACATCTAATCCTTCCAGGCTTCCAGGCTCATGTTAGTGAAATTAGTCATTAAGGTCATTATTCTTTTCATTCTCAGAAATGCCTTAAGGGTTTATTGCCGTTAAATACCTATGCCTTGAAGCCGTTAAATACTAAAATCTCTTTGGCCCATATACTCATTCAACCCATCTTAGACTTCGCTAACGCCCGTTACCTGGATGCCAAATAAACTTGAGCTTCTAAATAAACCTGAGCGCTAGACCTACATAAACGCTTTATTTTTGGACTTCGTAAATTTGATCATGGCTCTCGTCTTTGCAAGGAACTCAAGTGGATCCCAATACGTTTTCGATGAGACTAGGATTTTATGCTTGCTCTTTAATATCCAGTATTAGACAACGTCGCCATCTTAACTGGTTTGCTTTCGCTCGTCCACCGTATGCTCCTTGCCGTTCCCATCAAAAAACCCTTCTTAAATTCCCTCCCCTCGCACCTCATAGGCGTAGGGTTGCAGGTGCTTTGCCTCATTTTAGTAAAACGGGCCATAGCAACCTCATTTACCAGACGAAACACAGAAGTGTAACACTTCTGTTTCGTTCTGCTAGGATGAAACTGCCCATTTGTGCAACAGCGAAGACCCTGTGGCCCTACCATAGTATACTATTAATTATATTGATCATGTAAAATATTGTTATATCCTAATGTGTGTTCATTCATAATAATGTATTGTTAATCCGATCCTAATCCTATATCCTATGTAAAACATACTTTGAGTTTTATTGTACACGGCACTTATTATACAGATCAAGCGGAGACAAAACCTGACATAAAAATATTTTTTTAACTTTCCACACCGAAATGTCAAATTCGAAAGGAAGAAATCTAAAAATCTAAAACTTAATGAATGACATAAAGGGAGGCGTATTCTTAATTCTTATATATTGTTAAAAAACTTATAACAATGGTATTTACTTTAAAGTAAAATTTGATCTTTTCAAAATGTTTACGAGGTAACGCCTACTTTATGCTTTTCTTTATTATCCACAGATTCGCTTCATATTAATTCAAAACCGTGCGGGTAAGACACGTCTAGCAAAATGGTACATGAATTTTGATGATGATGAGAAACAGAAGTTGATAGAAGAAGTACACGCTGTTGTTACAGTGCGAGATGCCAAACACACGAATTTTGTTGAGGTTAGTGTGGAAATAATATTTTTAAATTGTATGAACATCACTAGATGGACTGAACAACAACGAAGCAAATTGATCTTTTTTCAGTTCCGGAACTTCAAAATTGTTTACAGAAGATATGCGGGCCTATATTTCTGTATTTGTGTGGACGTAAATGATAATAATTTGTGCTACTTGGAAGCAATCCATAATTTCGTAGAGGTATTGAATGAATACTTTCACAATGTGTGTGAATTGGATCTGGTATTTAACTTCTACAAGGTAAGTGTTTAAAATTTAGAAACAACTTTAGAGTTTAGATGATTTTAAATTAACTTCCATTCATTATAACATTGTCAGAGAAAGAACATCTTTTTTGAAGCATGGACTTGTTAGAGGTTTCTAGAAATATATCTTTAAAAATAATTAACAGTCACTAACCGTCATCATCTAAAAGCACAACAAATAAAGAGCATCTTTATTTTTCTTATTTATAAGTTGTGAAACGTGTCTACACTTAATTTTATTATCCTGATTTTCAGGATAATACAATGTAAATAAGTGTTATTTTAAAGTAAAAATAATACATTTATACACATATATCCATAGAATTAAATCTTACCTGTCTCATAAAATTAAAGGTCAAACAACATTAAAAAATTACCAGTATTTTATTTCAGGTGTACACAGTTGTTGACGAAATGTTCCTGGCGGGGGAGATTAGGGAAACCTCACAAACTAAAGTGTTGAAGCAGCTTCTTATGTTAAACTCTCTAGAATAGAATTGTTTTTTTAAATTTTATTTCACAGGGATACACTTACATTTTAAGTTGCAATATGTATTAGTAGATGTGGAATTAATATTTCTGTATATACTAGCAAAAAGAAATTGCTTCAATTAAGCTATCTTTTTATTATAAATGTTTAATATTATAAATCTGCAGTTATCTACAATTTTGCAAATGATAACAGTTAATTTTCGCCTTAATTTATCTGGTTAAGTAGCAAAGTGTTTATCCATCTATAACTGTGACTTAAGTGAGTTAATTATAATTAAATTTGAAGAACTTGAATTCAATTTTGTAATAAGGCAGTAATCTCAATGAATTTTATAGGCTTTTTGTGGCTGTAGTCTTAAAATTCTTGTCTATGGTAGAAGTTGATTATATTATTTAATTATTTGATGGAGAAAAACAATATTGTAAGATAGTTTCTTTAATTTATTACCTTTTAATCAATTCCATACATGGTATATAAATAAAATGAAATGTTTATAGCAAGTTAAATCATTAGAAAAATTTGAGTGTTTGTCATTTTGTCATTGAAGATTTGTAATACTCAAAAAGAAATCAAAAAATTATAAAAATCAAGAAATTTACTATTAAAACTTTTAAATATAGTATTATTCTAAAATATAATAATATTAATATTGTACTGATTTCTTGTAACCCTAATTTCATTTATATTCTTTTATATACAGGTAATTTAAGCTATTGTAACATGAAATAGCATTCAGGTAATTTGTAACAGAGTCTGTTATTGATACTTTGATCCTTAAATGTTATTGAATCACTATTGTTTATTATAGCAATGGATTGTTCTAGGATGAGAAATATTACTGATGCACAGTTGATTGTTAGCTGGAAAGTAGTTCCATGATGTTATTTGTATATAAGCATATCTGTCTATATGATTAGAATGGCACCTTTGTGATGGAGAAATTGAAAACTACTGTAATGTAATAGCAGACATAAATATCTCCTCATATATTATAAATCTGGTATTCCATATAAACTAGATCTTGTAAAATGTCAAATAATAAACATGTACATTTAAAATGATTTATTTATGGAGTGTGATTTATGTGTTTTTGCATACACAATAATATAATATTGTGTATGTAAAAGTACTAATAAAACCTTGTGTTTAATAAAAAAAAGGGACCATAGACTAGCATATTGACAGCAAGAACACAACATAAAAATATATTATTTTATTAAACAATTTAGAGAAGAGTGCAGATACACAGTTAAATATTTGAAATGCAAATTAAATAATTCAAATTACTTAAATGACACATGTATTAACCAAGTTTTGATGCACTAACATAAAAAAGTATTTACAGACTTGATGCAATATTAACTTGCTAATAAAACCCATAAATGTCTCATCCATTATAAGTTGTCCTCAAAATAACAGATGATTACTAACTTTACTAATATGGTAGAGTATATCTGGTGAATGTTACTATATTTCCAAGAATAAAAGTTGTACCTATGTTAAACAACTTTGAATTTCAAATCTGCTATATATTTTTCTCGAATAATAACCTGGTAAATTAAAGATTAAAATATTTAAGGATTATAGTGAAGAATCTTCCTTACATAAAGCCCATTGAGTATTAAAATCATTTTGATCTTCATGATAAATTGACTTATTACTGCCATTCCCAGCGGTGCACTATAGGCGCGAACATCCAGAGGTCTGGATGACCTATATGCATTACATGGGGTCCCATATCGAATTCACTCCACCTGCAAACAGGTCTCAATGAATGACTCATATTAACATACAAATTTTACTTCAACTTTTCAATTACTATTTTGATTCATACATGGAAACAAATATCATACAATATCTTATCAGCGTCCAATCAAAAAGCAAACATTTTGCTGTGTGATTGGACGCTGGAGAAAAATGAATGTAGGGCTTTTAAAGTATTTTACTGTTTATATACACATTGTTGAAAACCATTACACACATAATCACGTTAAAATTTAGTTTTCAAATTTCTAACGCAAAATTTCCATCCATTATAATTTTATATGTAATATGTCATCAATGTATGTACACCCCTGAATTGTTGCCATTGTTGATGTGAGATGTACATAAGCGGCATTAACGGCTTAACATCAGCCTTATCAACGTCATCATCACTGCAGCCTGTTTGAGTCCACTGCTGAGCACAGGCCTCCCCCACAGACTGCCACGAAGCACAATCCTGTGCCACCTGCATCCATCGACTAACCAAATATAAGCCTGCTTACTTGATAATGTTTCACATAAATAATTTTGAACCAAAAAAAAAAACCGACTTCTAACAGAAAACTAAAAAAAACATTGTCAACCCCTATAACATTTGAGGATTGCCCTCGATTTCTCTGGGATGCCATCATCAGATCTGGATTTCCTTATCATGGTACCACCCTTAGGATATCTCCTTTATGATATGATATCTGGTTTTAGATATTTTATCTGGCAACATACACAAAGGGCGGTATGCCCCTGGATATGTTGTGCGTCGGCCCCGACACGGAGACGAACTGGTAGTCATGGCGAAGATGAGCGCTGGTGACCTTGGTGTCGGTGCCGCCGTGGCTGCGGTGGCCCAGCGCGCGGAATGGGTACGAACCTGCGGTGTTGCCCGAATCGCGACATCGGCCACGAAAAAAAATTACTTATTCCTTGCCAAAAATACCCGAATGCTAAGATTATTAGGTTGTGAATAATTATAACCGAATTTGTAACGCATATCCCAAACGGAATGTTATTAAAGATTAAAATATTAACTTAGTGGTTAAAGCGACTGAGCGCGAATCTCTAAGACGTAGGTTCGATTCCACAACGGCGAACTTCGTACTTTTTCCTACAAACTTTAATGTTTCATCTAAAGTGTAGAGATTAGCACTATAAAAATTTAAATATTCATAGATATATCAACGCGAATCTAGGGATTATGACCTCTATGAATTGTGATTCCCCCCCTTCTCCGATAAAGCTTAGTAGATAAAATTAGTCCTCCTTCTCGCTTCATACTTTTCATTTAATTTGTTAAGTGACAGGCAATAATTTTTTTGTAATCTGGAATCATCGTTCTTGCTCCGACTATAGATTGGTACAGACGTCAAGAGCGTTGTTATTTTGTTTTGTGAAAATGGACTCTCTGGTGATTTGGATAAAGTTGTGAACAACGTTGTTGAGATTAAAATATTTTTTTCGGAATTTAGGATACAGTACGACGACCCGAATTTTGTAGTGGGTATTGCACTTGCCTCCTGCGCCAGAGGGTGTGGGTTCGATCCCACTACTGGAAAAATATTGTGTTTTTTAATTGTGCATTTTTCTAGTGTTTGCATGTTTATATATGTGTAATGTGTATTTATTCACAAAAAAAAAAGTATGTTTATCAGTTATCTAGTACCCATAGTAAAAGCGTTGCTTAGTTTGGGCGCTAAAAAAAGTGCAATTGCGAAGAAACAAAGTCGATATTAAGTTTTGTGAAGATTTAAGAACAATTTTTGCATCGCATGTGCGGAAGGTTGAAATTCGAACGGACGGTCCTACCGTTCGCCGGGTTCAGGTCGTTCCGCGCGGCGATCGCGTTGCAGGCGCTGTAGGGGGGCGAGCATTGTTCACAGCGCGCGAGGGGGTCGTGTTTGAAGTCGTTGTATCGCATCGTCTTGTACATGTCGCGCAGGTTGCCGATCTTCGCCTGCGGGGCGTTTATTTATTTATTTATTCACCCCTTATGCACAAATAGTACAACGGCGGACTTAATGCTAAAAGCATTATCTCCCAGTCAACCTTGGGGCGGTACAGAGAAAATAAGGTAGGTGCACAGAGAGATATCCAACAAGGAAAACGCTAATATTTACAAACTATGTTATGTATATGCATATGTTAAATACAGTACTGAATTATATACAAAAGGCGTTTGTTGCGCGGGAAAACTTAAAAAAATAAACAACAAAACCGGCCAAGTGCGAGCCGAACTCGCGCACGAAGGGTACCGTACCAATTATAATAGAGTATAGTTTATTACGAATATATACTACGCTGCCTTGATAGCTCAGTGTCCGGGCGCTCGCCTTTAATTCAATACACTCGAGCAACCTGAGTTCGATCCCCGGTGTCAGCACCAATGGAATTGTTAATTTTAAGTGCCGAATTATCACTAGCTCAGCGGTAAGGAATACGCCGTGAGGAAACCTGCATATTTTCGAAATACTAGCAAAAAAAAATATTTCGAAGATATGTGAAGTCCCCCAATCCGCAGTGGGGCCGCGTGGTGGCCTATGCCCTGACGCCCTCTGTACAGAGGAGGCCTTTGCCCAGCAGTGGGACATGTATAGGCTGATACTTTACTACTTTAGATACTACGGAATCCCTTGCGAAGAAAAAATTACACCAGGCCCACCCACCTGCATCTTCTTCAGGATCTTAGCGCGTGGGTTGGTCCCGTAGCCGAACCAGTCGCCGTAGATGCGCACGCGCTCGTTTCCACCGCTCATGTTGAAGATCGCGGGGAAATAGGGGATGTTGTACGCCGGGAAGTATGTGTTGGCGACGAGCTGGTCGGTCCTGGGAGCGGCGGTGGGCGTGGGGACTTCTATTTTTTGCCAAGCGAGCAGGTGCTTCACCTGATGTTAAGTGAATACCACCGCCCGTGGACATCTGCTGCACCCGAGGGTTTGCAGATGCGTTGACAACGCATCTGCAAACCCTCGTTGACGTTTTGAAAATTGGGCTCCGGCCACTTCACTCACCAGACGAAACGCGAAAGCATTATACTTCAACTTTACGCCGGTCTTCTGTGAGGTCGTGGTACTCACCCGGACGGGCCTGCCCATTCGTGCAACAGCCGGGGCTGCTGTGTGGAACTGGTGCTTGACAAAGGTTCAAATCAAATATCTTTATTTCAATATAGAAGAGTTACACAAACTTGCTAGTCTACCGGTTCATGTCAAAAGAGTGAATGAATGAATGTAAAAAAGAGATGTAGATTAATCAGTTACCCATAAAACGAAAGCTACTATCATCATCCTTTGCCCATCTAGCTCACATATTGATTGTCGAAATACTACTACCGGTTCATATAAAAAGAGTGAATGAATCACCATTCACTCTTTTTATATATGGTATTATGAATGAAAAAAGAACTGTATATTAGTCTATCGGTTACCTATAAAACAAGAGCTACTACATCATGATCCTGTTCCCACCTAGGTGGGGTCGGCACAACGGAAGTAAGCGCTACATCCGAAGAACCAGAAAAGAAATTGCGCTCACAGATCCGAAGACTCCGTGAATCCAGGCAGCTGTTCGATGACCCACAGTAGACCATTTTTCACCGCACCGCGGGTGGTGTTCGTACGGGGCGTGAACTTGTTGTAGTCCACGATGAACCTGCGGATTAACTGAAGTTAGTTACAGCTGTAACAAAAAAATAGTAACTATTTACTGTTTTTTTTTTATGTAAGCGTTGCCTATTACGGCAATACATTTGCAGTTTAAAAAATACATTTGCAGTAATTTCTTCGATTATATTTAACCACAGTCCGAGTATTTTGCTAATTGTAGATTATTAATTGTATGTTAAGCATTATTTCATGCTTTCACTTTTCTTTTGTTTGAATTTTTTTAGTTAATTAATCTCACTGTCCAATTGTTAAAAACTTTTTAACTGACCATAAACTTAATAAATTTGATAATCGAGGTGAGATGACATGCGATGTGGTATTCCGTCCGAAATTTTCCCGCTCCCTTCTAACATCTGAGCCGACTGGGACTCCGGGACGGAACGCTCCAAACACAAACGCAGAAGGCGGTGCTCCTCGATATCGCCCGCTGGTTTCTCTCCCTCTCACCCTAACCCTCGGCCGTTTGGTCTCCCCTGCCGAGGGCTTCCGTCTGGTTGGGTCCTATTTATGTATGTATTATATCTATATGTTTATTTTATTTATAAGCCCAACCAGACGATAAAACAAATAAATATCCCCAATAATAATAATATATTTTAAAACGAAATTAATTAATTAAATTTTAATTTTGTAAACCCAACCAGACGAGAAAACAAGTAATCATCCCCTTATATTAAAAAAACCGGCCAAGTGCGAGTCGGACTCGCGCACAAAGGGTTCCGTACCATTATCTATAAAATCATGTCTGTTGCATGGTAGCCCCGCTTAAATATTTTTTATTCTGTTTGTTAGTGATCATCTGTGAAATTGCCAACTTCAACTGTCTAACTATCACGGTTCATGAGATACAGACGGATAGACAGACTGTGGAGTCTTAGTTATAGGGTCCCGTTTTACCCCTTGGGTACGGAACCCTAAAAAAATAAAGCTAGCCACTCACCACTGGTTGTTGTACGTGCCACTGTTGTGCTCCCGGAATATCCTGGTCCACTGGTGACCATCCGACGCGAGCCGGCAGGCGACCATCCCTCGTATGTACTCCATCACCTGCACGAAGCAACATCGCATCAACGATGATGACAACGTGGCGTAGTCGCCAAGGTACTGGCTTTGGCGTTGGGGTCGTGGGTTCGATCCCCACACGGGACATCCATTTGTGTGACCCACAGATAGTTGTTTCGTATCTGGGTGTTTGTCCACGTTAAATTTATGTTTGTAAAACGTCTTTATAGCCCAGGATAATGTTATCCTAAAGTAAGGGCAACGTTTTTTTTTAAAGAAAAGAAAAAAAAAGCCTGCTCAAGACAAAATCCGAGATGTAAATAGGCAATTGGGCTTCTGGTGTGGTCTACCGAGCATTAGCCAGCCTATAGGTAAATTTTCTATTTCCTACAACGGCAATTTTTAGGCTGTTTTCTTTGCCAAATCGGTACTTATATTAAATGTTTACATTTATTAAACATTTATTTTTATATTAAATGTTTACATTTATTAAACATTTAATATTAAATCTCATGCAAAAGCTACTGTATGGATTTTAATGAGACTTTACAATAATATAGCTTATACATCAGAATAAAACTTATCCTATAATTTATGAAGATATTAACTGTGTGAAATATTCAAAATGGTTATGTTTTGGATATTTCACACAATTAATATGTTATATATGTAAATAGTAGTAAATTCTGCCATCTGCGAGCTATTCTTGTGACCGCTCTCTCTGAAGTATTAATAACTAGCTGTTAATTTTATTAAAGCTCCATATTTTATTGAGGAAACGTGAATATTTTCAAAACAATAATAAAAAAATAAATGTGAAGTCCGCCAATCTGCAGCGGGGCCGCGTGGTGGACTATGCCCCGATACCCTCTGTAAAGAGGAGGCCTTTGCCCAGCACTGGGACATTTTTACTTTTTTTTACCTTGCCTTCCGCAAGGGCGTTGTTCCTCCCCGGCGTTATTGTGTGTTAATTTACCAGGATCGCATCGCTCATCCACCACTCACCGATCCCTCGGGGCTGATGAGCTTGAACAGGGTACTGTTGCTGTTGCTGATCGTGGTCTCGGCCACCACCAGGCCCGAGGACACGATGTAGAAGTCGTCTGTGGACTGCCCCGGTGCGTCATGTGCGGAATTGGACCGGACAGAGCCGGCTAGCGCCGTAACGACACGGCTTGGCTTTTCAGCCGACTTAATACGGATGAGTTTCTCAGTTCGACTGTATCTTTTTTTTTATGTTTGTCACCTCAGAACTTTCGACTGAGTAAGCCGCTTTTGATGATTTAATAAATAACCATTATTTTTACAAACGAAAAACAAAACCGACTTCAAATATCTCGCTCTGTGTTCATTTTATAATTTCCGGGAGTACCCCAACTATCTCCGGAGCCCAAGATACAATACCAATGAAATTAATATGGGACCACATCTGAAGCACCAGCTTTCAGATGAAGAGAGAATCATCTGTCGAAAGTTCTGAGGTAACAAACGTTAAAAAAATACTGTCGAACTGAGAACCTCCGCCTTTTGAAGTCGGTGAAAAATGGACTTGTTTTTTGTTATCGAGGGGAAATCTTCAAAAGATATCATGTCACCTCTCACGTGGGGTTCGCACCCACTAAAACCCCCTCGGTGGCCACCTTCTGTGCCCCTTCGAATGGAACCCTTCGTGCCCGAGTCCGACTCGCACTTGGCTGGTTTTTCTTCATGTATGTGCGCCTGCGTGCGCGTGTGTCTCCATTACCTCTCTATGATTATGCCACAAGTAATTTTAATGAAATGTAAAATAATTTCAACTTGTACACTCAATTAAGGTATAGCTTCCTTTTCATATCAAATATTGTACTAAATTGATTTGTGTCATTCTTACTTACTTAAACGATTAAACTTCTTCTTCCTTCTAACTTTTCACACATTCCTAAGGTCTCAATTGAAGAATTGTAATTTACCTGCACGAAGCCTGGATAGGATGAGAAGGACATCTTATAGCCGGGTATCCTAATTTTGGCATTCGAGCTTGTCTTGAAATGGAGGACATACATCTTCTGGATCCGCAACATAGACTGGTAACTGTTGATAAATATAAACAAACACTGATTTTTTTTTATATTTTCGAAACAATAACAAATAAAAGCATTTCCATGATATCTGGTCTGCCAATGGGGCCGAATCTTAGGGTGCCCTATCCCAATAAATTAATATTTTAGGACGATTGGCGTAGTGAACCTTCCTCTTGCGCCAGAGGGTGTGGGTTCGATCCCCACTACTGGAAAAATTATTGTGTGGTGAACGTAGTGTTTTTCCAGTGTCTGGTTGTGTATATATGTATTTATTTACAAAAAAAAAGTGTGTATCTATCGGTTAAAAGAAAAAAAAATATCTAGTGCCTATAGTGCAAGCGTTGTTTAGTTTAACTGTGGTAGGGCCACGCAGCAGCCTCGGCTGTTGCACCGACGTCAAGTGTAAGTATAATACTTTCGCATTTCGTCTGGTGAGTGAGGTGGCCGGAGCCCAATTTTCAAAAGGTTGTCAACGCATCTGCAACCCTCGGGTGTAGCAGATGCCCATGGGCGGTATTCACTTAACATCAGGTGAACCGTCTGCTCGATTGAGAACTTGTTGAGAAAAGTTTGGGGTTGAGTACGTTGTGTAAAATGTGTCATAAATATTATTTTTCCTCTCTTCATCGTACACTCTGCAACACAATCGTGGTGGGCCCCTAAGGTAGGAGGCTGCCGTACCTGTTCCAAGTGGTGTGGCCGGTGTACAGGTCGCTGAGGTCCGGGAGTAGCTTCACCAGCCCCGTGCAGTGCGCGCCGAACAGCAGGTCGTCGGGGAAATCCTTGGACACGGACAGGGCATACGCCAAGTCATCCAAGTCGCCCAGCATGTTGATCCAGCTGGATTCAATAGACAAAAAGGTTTCACGTTGTTGCACCGACGACTTTTCCGTTTATCCTTAGGAATGTCGGAATTGAAGAAATATCTCGAAATATCGATGTATCGATATCGACATATCGAGTTATGTCTAAAAAAAGGCACGTCAAGTATTAAATATTTGATACCGATTTAAAATATTATCGTTTTCGATGTGATTTTCTATATTCAGTATTTTGTATCGATATATCGCATCCGAATATATCGGCTAAAAATATCGATACATAGAATCCATCCCTAAGAAAACAAGTATATGATCTATGTTCATCATATCTGATGAACTTTTTTCACATTCAATAAGAGCTAAAACAAGCAATAAATAAATTATGACTTCGATCATCAAATCAGAATGCAATTATAAATGATGTTTATTTCAGTCATATACAAAAGCTGTTTCAATTTATCACAAATTATTCCGTTATTAGGCTATTTATTTATTTTATTCCAACAGAAGCTTATCCCAAAAATCATTGCGAAATTTACAGCTAACGATGAGATGAGTGAGAGATGGAGAGTTTAACACTCTCCATCTCTCTCTAATCTCATGACATCTCATCTAATGTATCTTTATTTTATAAGCTTTGCTGACACGATGGCGCCGCTGCCAAGGTATTGGCTTCGGCGTCAGGAGTCATGGGTTCGATTCCCACACGGGGAAACTATTTGTGTGACCCACAGATAGTTGACAGCATAAGATAATGGATAACATTAAAGGAGGGACATGTTTAAAAAAAATACTGACATTATATCGCGCACAGTTAGCCATTGGTAAGGCTCTGTTGTTGCATCATTGTAGCCCATTGCCAGCCCCTCGAGCTGGATGTAGTACAACTTCACCTGGAATGTTCGGAAATTTATTTATTTTATTTAAAATTTAATTGTTTACACCCCAACTTAAGGCTGGACAAAAGGAAAACTTAATGCCCAAAGTATTCTCTACCTATCAATCCTGTCAATCAGAGGGAACTGACAATTCAGTTGTTTTGATTATTGTATGGTATGATTGTTCGTGTTAGTGATGATGGATGTTGGAACAATATTGTGTGATGAAAATGGTGTTTTTTCGTGTCTTTGGGTATATACCCAGACACAAAAAAAGTACAAATTTCTGATAAATGTTCGAAATACAATTAAAAACGTTTGTAACTTCTTTATAAATTTTTACTTCTTTTCGCCGTGTCCGTCATTTATCTCCTTCCCATCGCCATCCTCTCTCCCTTTCATATCCGTCTCGCTCACACTCTCGTCGTTCCTTTTCACATATAACTCTTACCCTCTTTACGCTCCATTCCCACATATTTATATGTATAATGTGTATTTATACGCAGATAACGTTGCTTTTAAATGTTTCCTGAAAATATTTAGTTCATTTATTCTTCTTCTTTTCGTGTCGATGGCAATTCACACGATATCGACCCAAAATTCAGCCACATGAATTGCATTCATCAGGTCCTCCTGCGTGCAGTTGGTTAGTCTTGTGGCAGGGGTACGCAACAGGTTCGGCTGTTGCACGAATGGGCAGGTCCGTCCGGTACTTACTACGACCTCACAGACGTAGAAGTGTCATACTTCTGCGTTTCGTCTGATGAGCGAGGCAGCCGGGGCCCACTTTATTAAAAGGTGGCAACGAATCTGCAACCCCGCGCGTGTTGCAAATGTCCTTGGCGGCATTATCACTTAACATCAGGGGAACCCCCGGCTCGCTTGTCACCTTCTCACATAAAAAAATTACCACGTGTAGTGTATTTAAAATAAAACGATTTTACCTGGCAACATGTTAGAAATGTGCACTATAAGCAATATGTATTTATTTATCTCTAACTAAATATATTAATTGATATTGAAACGGAAATTTTCTTACTTGATACCAGTAAGGATCTAATTGGTTGTCCTTTACCATCCTGGCAATGTATTCTTCATTTTTGTCAAGGAACTCTTCAATTAGTCCGCACAATACTGTTTTGTTGTAACAATATCTGAAAATATATATAGTCTGAATATATATATATTGTTAGAGGAATCGTGAGACAACGTCACCACGGAGGGAAGTGTGCGGCACCGTTAACTAGTTTTAAGAAGAAAACCTCTGCCCGATGAAAAATGTCAAACTGCTTATGTTCTGATTATGGATTTGATAGATTCGGGGTCTCATGTAATTTTCTATAAGAATTAGTAAGAACTTGAATTGTTTATCGAGACATAAAAGTGCCATAGTTTGTGTTTATTGTTTCTTTTAATTACATTCCACCTCTGGTTCCTAACAATATATATAGGTACAGTCGACATTATGCCCCACACAAAGACGATATTTCGCAAATTTAGAACTAATGGGACCTAATTAAGAAAATCATGATTTTGACTTTATGTCAGGAAACGACCTAAAACTACCACGTTTTTCGACTCTTATCAAAACAGGGGCCGATTTTAAAAAGCTACATAACGTATACTTCGGTCTCTTTCACTTTTTGACAACATACAATTACGGGACTCAAAATCAAAATCAAAATCAAAATCAAATGTATTTATTCAACATAGGAGCATTACACTCACTTATTGATAGTCAAAACACTACCACCGGCTAAATTCGTTAAAATACAATATAAGAACTCCGATTGAAAGAGCCTGGAGCGATTAGTTCATTACCAGAGTGTGTTATCATTTAAATAATCATTAATATTATAGTAGCCTTTAACACACAAACGTTCTTTTACTATTTTTTTTAATTTAGCTATTGATGCATTTTGAACGTTTTCTGGAATTTTGTTGTAATAACGTATACATTGTCCCATAAAAGATTTACTTATTTTACGGAGTCTACTTGTGGGTAGGATCAATTTATTTTTGTTCCTAGTATGTATATCATGAACATGTCTTAAAAATTTATCCTTATTTTTATGGACATACAAAACATTTTCAAAAATGTATTGAGCAGCAACAGTCAATACCTTTATCTCTTTGAACAAGTTTCTTAACGATTCTTTGGGGCCCAGATTGTAAACTGCACGAATAGCTCTCTTTTGTAAGATAAAGATTGTATTAATGTCGGCCGCGTTACCCCAAAGCAGAATGCCATAAGACATTATACTGTGAAAATAACTAAAATATACCAAGCGAGCCGTATCAACATCAGTTAACTGTCTTATTTTTTTGACCGCGAAAGCTGCTGAGCTAAGTCTACTCGCCAGTCTATTAATATGGGGGCCCCATTGCAGTTTGGCATCAATAGTTATGCCAAGGAATACAGTTGAGTCAATAGGGTCCAACGCTTCTCCATATAAAAGTACATCAGTTTTTACATGTTTAACATTGGAGGAAGTGGTAAATTTAATACATTTAGTTTTTTTATTATTCAACAGTAAATTGTTAGCACTAAACCAATGTACTACAGTAGATAGAGTATTGTTTACATCGTCATAACTTAAAGAACGTCGGTTTACTTTAAAGATTAAAGAGGTATCATCCGCAAACAATACTATCTCATGATTATTATTAACAAGATAAGGTAGATCATTTATGTAAATGAGGAAGAGAAAAGGCCCAAGAATAGATCCCTGCGGGACCCCTTTATTTACCAAGGCCCCGGGAGATCTCTTGCCATTCACGTCAACTCTCTGAATTCGATGGCTCAAGTACGATTTCAGAAGACTGAGTGCGGCATCTCTTATACCATAGTGGCGTAGTTTCCTGACCAAGGTCTCATGCTGTACACAATCGAAAGCTTTGGTTAAGTCACAGAATATTCCTAAGGCATCCTGTGACTTTTCCCAGGCTTCAAAAATATTCATAACGAGCTGAACACCCGCATCAGTTGTTGAGCGACCCCTAGTAAACCCATATTGCTTGTTATGTAATAAATTATGAGAGCTAAAATGCTGTAACATTTGATTTAACATGATTTTTTTCAAAAATTTTACTAAGAGTTGGCAGTACAGAGATAGGTCTAAAATTATTAGGATCGGAAGTACTACCAGATTTAAACACCGGAATGATTTTACTATGTTTCATAAGGTCAGGAAATTCGCCACGATTGATACAAATATTAAAAATAGTTGCTAGGTAAGGTGATATTACATCAATAATAGAACTGATCACCTTAACCGAGATCCCCCATAGATCTGCAGTTCTTTTAACATCTAAAGTTTTAAAAGTTTTAACAATTTCTGTCTTGTTTACAGTAGTAAATTTAAAGTTGACTTTACATTCCATAACATTCTTTTTTAGTAATGACTCAGCAACTGTCGGTGAGGAAAGAAGTGACTTGGTTGTTGAAACTGGAATGTCAACGAAAAATTTCTCGAAGAAAGTAGCAGCCTGTTGATTTGAGTTAATAGAATTATTATCATTAGTTAACATTAGGTCAGATTTGCGCTTCGTGACTCTTCCCGTTTCGCTATTAATTATTTTCCAAGTCATTTTGATTCTATCAGGTGCATTTTTTATTTTATTCCTAATATATAGAGATTTAGCAGTATAACAAGCTTTGTTAAATATTTTAGAGTAGGCACTAACATAAGAAACAAAACATTGACTATGATTGTATGTCCTTTCACTATAAAGTTCATACAATCTACGTCTACTATTATGAATTCCGACTGTTGCCCATTCATTGAAAACTACAGAGCTTTTAGGTTTGACTGTCTTAGGAGTAAATATAGTATTAAATTCCACTTTAATTAAATTAAATAATATGTTGTAAAGTGCATTGGGGCTATCATTATAAGGTAGATACGTCAGCTTTTTTGTTATATTACTTCTAAACTTCTCAACCCGAGTTCTATTTACAGGAAAAACCATTATTTTTTGTACCTTAGCACTACTATTTTTTATATATGATTTAAAAGTGGCAAGTTGTCCGCAATGGTCTGAAGTAAATATATTAATAATAGACTTGTTTATTGGATTACAGTTTGTAAATATGTTATCTAAACAAGTTGCGGAAGAAGTAGTGATTCTAGTTGGTTCAAGGAATAAATTGGCAAGGTTATATGAATTTAACAATGATCTGAATCTAATAGAGGTGGTAGAATTTTCTAATAAATTTATGTTAAAGTCACCACAGACAATAATATATTTATTAGATTCAGATAACTTCAACATCAATTCTTCCAAAACATTTTCAAAAGATTCATATAACGCACTAGGAGGTCTGTATACGCATACAACAATGAAATGCTCAAGCTCCACACAGGCTATTTCAATAGTCCGCTCAACAGAGAGGCTCACAACATCTTTGCGGTTCTTAAATTTTAAAGCATTATTAATAAGTATAAGAGAGCCACCACATATCGCTTTTTCTCTGCTGAACAGACTAGCAACCTGGTGACATCTGAAGTTAAATATGTACTGGTAGTTTAATAGCCAATGTTCAGTAATACATAATATGTCAATATTGTTACTGTTCAAAAATAACTCAATTTCCAAATCTTTACTTAACATTCCTTGGATGTTTTGATGGACCAGGCTAATACAATTTAATTTAATACTACAATTAATGTCTTTATGCAATTTACTTACATGTCTCACTAATTTACTAGAATAAGTTAAGTTTTTAATTGAAGTGCCAGAGATTGCCTCTGTTGTCTTCATATTTAATTTAAATTACTTGGAACGGATTCCAAATTGGTACATGTCAAATTTTGTTGCTGTTCAATAGAAGCAGCAGTCTGGTTAGCCAAGCATTTGGCTGGGTTTAAAAAAATGCAATAAGATAGCATATAAGCTAACTGTTTTAAATAAAAATTGGATAGGATGAACCTATCATATGTCAAATTGGATGATTTATAATTTATAATATTATTTATGTCAATTAAATCACAATTTAATTTATTTTTTTGATAACGGGTACATAATTGTTATTTGTCAACATATATAACATATGATTAAGACTATGTCTATAATTGTTTTCCTGCGGCAACCCTTTTACATAGGGAAATGTGAACATTATTATTTTTTTAACATTTAAGTTTAATAATTGATCAAAAGACTACGCCTAATGCATAGGAGTGCCGGAAAAGAAGTATGAGAACCGGTGCCAACTGCCTGCCTGCCACACGGCCGGGGGATGCCATGGGGTCCGCTCGACGTACCTATTCACGAATTTTAACCTACGGCATCTAGTTAGCTAGGTAGCATCGCACCGCGGGATTTTCGGTGGTGGAATTCCTCGGTCTCCCAGAATCGAGTTGGACGCGAAAAGTCCAGAAGATCGGCTTTCGCCTTCGTGGCAATGGTCAGCGAGTCATCCTCCGCGTGAAGGGGTGGAAAAAGAGGGTGGCAGAAGTTCCCTAATACATCCAGGGCGAGCGACCAACGCACGTGTTCCGGACGGAAGTCGCGCCAGCCTCTCGCCACGTCTGTAGATGTGCTCTTCGCTTTAGCAATAACACTATGAAGGAACTAGAGGCAGAGTTATACTCCTTTTCTATGAGCTGGCATTTTTTATAGACATACAGTAGCAGCATAATGTGTCTATAATTTATAGGGTCTGTACATGTCTGGTCTCACTGTTTCTGAGCAGAAGACTAGAATTAACATTTAAAATAGAAAACTGACACCAATCAAAATTTTAGCCCTTTACAAACTCAAGGATTTTGGCTTGGCTCTAATGCTTACTACTAGGAAACTTGCTTACATCACACATTCTTATCAACCTATTTTATTAAATCGGGAAATTAAATGTAAACAAACCCTTTGAGCATATTCTGCCAATGCATCCATATCAAGTCTCTCGTTAGAAAACCCTCAATAAAGCCAGCTGCAAAGGCCTGCTTTTCATCACTGCAATCTTGTGATGTGTGAACTTCCAAAAAAGCCCATCTGGAAAAATAATACAAGCGGTGTGCTTGTGTAAAGATAACATTCAAATTACTATTAAAATCATAACATTTTGAAAGGATAAAAGGTCTGAGTAAAATTTTAAAGGGCCATCAAGAGCCTATACAATATAACGCCAACTGGAGAAGAGTTTGGAGAAACAATATACTAGATCCAGGTCCACTGCGTCTGAAGAGCTAAGATGATGAGGTATTTTATGTCATACTATACATGATGGATTGTGTAACACTCCAACTTTCTTTATACTAAAAAAGGAGACAAGTTAAATAGCATGCAACTATTTATTACTTTTTTTTTAACTGGCATTAATAGTAATACAAAATTTTTGACTCTCAACATGACACATTAGGAATTCCTAATTAAGGGAATCATTTAATACTGTATTTTCTCATAAGTTTAGAATCAAACAGAATTTCTATTTGGAAAAATATAGATATTGATTTTTGAGACCTACCCAGTTTGATTAATTTCATTTTTGTAAGTAGCACGAGCTACATGTAAAGATGGGATATCTGACGGCGAATTACTCTCTTTGAATACTGGTTTCTTATTAATCCACGATACGTATCCATATTTAGACTGGCTTATTTTAATTAAAGTTAAAATAAAGAAAACACAAAACTTCCAACTGGTTTTCATATCGATAATTTTATAACTTGTGGTATATATAATACGAGTTGTATTGCCGATATTGGTATAAAAAATTCTTAAAACAAATATTATATAAACAGGTCGCGTATGTAGTATTTTAGTAGTACTTTAGGCATTAGTAATTTAGAATAAAGATTATTGCGACTTAACTTTAGCGACTACTTGCAATAAACGTAACAAAAACACTTATAAAAATGAATAAAATGATATGTCGATGTTTGTAAACATATAAACAATAATGTATAACAATGTGATTATGCAGTTTGTTTATGTTTTGACTTTGACGTCGGTTCTTGACTTTTGACTTTGACATTGAGAAAATGCTTGGAGTGCTTGACGTTACGTAGATTAAGTATAAAAAAGATAGGTATTTTTTCAACAGAATGTTTGCCTAATTTTTTTTTGTAAGTGTACTTTGCTGTTAACGCGGAAGCGAACAGATGGCTGGCAACAATGATTAAACCACTCACTTGGATAAGTACAAGGACTCGAAATCGAAGTAGCTGGAAAAATATAAAACGATGACGCCTCCGCTCCGCGACCCCTATCAAAGAAAGATGGATCGGCTACCAAGAGGGACACGATGCGATCTTAGGGCCCAACAGATGAAGGTTCGATCCTCGGTTTGGACTGCCATCGCTAGAGGAACCTAACGAAGTAATATGATTGAAATTACGATTTAATCATGAGCCATACTAACTTCAGATGATCGTTTACGAAAGAATAAATCACAGAATTACTTATTTACAACTAAAATTAATTAACAAGAGTTAATAATTTACGAGAATAAAAAATTCACTGTACTTGTTTAATCGAAACTTCAATTTTCTACAACTCATAATACACTTACAGTTCTCCTTAGTTACCTACTTGATCTAATGTTTTCTTCCTCCCCTGATAACATTGCTTCACACAGGCTGTTCACTGTACCTTTTTCGTACGATGGTCTTATTTACCTCACATATTCCTCTTATACCTTCGTCCGCCTAAGCGAAAATTTCAGTTTGAGCATCTAAGTAGTTTTAAGAGTCCAGATGACTATGCATTAATTATGCTGTTCCTGATTACCAAGAAGCGGGCGGTTGTAAATATTATAGATGCGATAAGGGCAGGAATATCATGATGAGATATTAATGCATTACAAGTTACAACATGATCTAAGTAATATATATTGGACACCTGTTATGATTTCTTTTTTGATTGATAATAAAATTAGTGAATTCAATAGGCCATAGAATAGTACATACAGTGATGGATAAAGACTGAGTTATAAATAGTAGTTAAAACTATTAGAATTACTATGGTACTGCTATTGTTGCAGTTTTTTGGGAAATAACAGCAGAAAATATTGACACAGTTATATAGGTTAGGAGGCATTGGTACTTCATCGTCGGTTTATATTCAAGCCAGTTTCACATGTAGTATGAAGGACTACCACATTCCAAAAAGAAAAATAATTTTTTACTATGATCTAAAATAACTTCCACCTTCTTCGGGCCAAATTGTTAAAAATATGCAATAGGGTTTGCAAAATTTCGTGTCATTTTGAAACTTAAAAAAATCCTATAGACTTCAACCCCCTTTTAACCTATACAAACACCTGTAATTAAATAATTTTAAATTATTAACGCTAATAACATTAAACTATAAGTATCTTTCAATATTAACACGCTAATTATTTTTGTTTTAACATCACTGTTTGTCTTTTCTTTTAGGTAATTCAACATAGTATTATCAAAATTTATTTTTACTCTTTGTCTATAATATCACAATCTCTTTTTTCGCAAAGTAATTTTTACTCACAATTATTCAATATCTAAACTTAAATTGATGAAGCATCTTTCACATGTCATTGGCGAATTCATAAAAACGCCATAAAGGAAAGAACTTAAAAAAAAATTAAAAGAAAAAGCAAAAAAAGTACTCAACAATGTTTACTATTAAAATCAAACTATAATTTCTTCTATAAAGTTCACGTCAAAACTTGATAGCCGGGCAGTTGGTAGAGTTTCGAACTGTGAAATCCATGTAGTGGACACGTGGTGGTTGTTCCTTAGGTGGCAGAAAGCTTCATCCCCATCTCGCCGCACTTGTAGCCTACCTCCCTCAGTAGGTAAGGCACTCGCTCGTGAGGGGGCGCTTTCAGCCACTCGGTGACGTTCAGGGGCACCGCGGCGAAGCCCTGCCGCTCCAGGGTATCTAGCACCAGCCGGAACGCGCCCCGCAGGCGGTTGCTGTTCATCGAGTAGCAGCCCTGGTTGAAGATCAGTATGCAGACCCTGCCAAAGCGAACAACATCAAAATATATAGCGATACACTGATCTATTATTTAGGAAAAATGTATTGAGATAAATATCATACGGCATTGATCCCGATGGTAGCTTTATTTCTTCTATTGGTATTCTGCCTCCTTCCAACGCCAATTTGGGCAGTTGCACTGGGTTGCCATTTTTTAAGGACATAAATAAATCTGCAACATAAAATTAAAGCTACAATTCATTTAAAACTGTTTGTTGTTGGGTGTACTCTCTTCGAAACAGTTAGCAACCTCTGTTTTCAAAGAATGTACTGCATTTAGGCTAATATAGTCAAGTGTGTTGTTAAAGCGCATACAACCAGACATGTGTGAAAAACCATGAAAAGTTTCCTTCAATTGATCAGACATTGACGCCGTGAGTAAAAAGTTGCCATTGGTATAAACTCTCCGATACGATACGATCCCCACCAAAGGGAAAAAATCGTGCTTTTTTAGTATCTGGGTGTAATAGAAATCAAGAGAAAAGCATATCAACTATTGTCTCTATTTATTAGTAACTTAGTATCTAAAACGCATGCTTTGTTTAGATTGGGAATAGATGACGTAGTATACATAAAAACTTTCTACGCACCTGCTACTACGCCGCTGGGTAACACCACATTCTTGGCGACGTACTCCTCGCCGCCTATGGCCCTGGCCATGCACTCTCTGACGTGGTCCGTTATTGCGTGGACTGGGTAAGCGGCCTTCGCCTTCTCCAGGACCCGCGCGGGTAGCTTGTACTCCGTGCTGTGGAAAGCGTTCACGGCCTCGTGTAGGGTCAACAGCTGGAGGAGATCCAGCACGTTCTTCTCCCTGGAGAGGTAGTCCTCGAGGAACTCCTCGGAGAAGATCCTGTTCAGCAGTTTGTCCTCGTAGTGGCCGAGGGAGGCGAGCTCCAGGCAGACCTTCGTCCAGGGCAGCGCCGCGTTTGTGGCCTTCAGGATCGGGTTCTCCGAGAGGTCCCGCCTTATTGTCTCCCATTTATCCCCGTCTGGTGTGTAGTTGTTGTTCGAGAGGCAGTTGATGAAGCTGAACAAGATGTTGGTGCGGACGCCGGCGAGGTGGTTGGGGCTTCTGGTCGCTAAGTTGCATAGGTACTCCATGAGGCCGAGGTGGGTGTGAGCCTAGAACGGATTACTCCGTGGTAACGAACATACGTAAAAGTGGAAAGAAAATACGGTCTCATTTGTTGTGTTAATACCAATTTTTTTTTATTAGTAGAAGACGAAGGCGTACTGCAATCCAGTAACTGTGGTTGAAATAGAAGGATGTTAATTTTAAATTTCCCCTAACCATTTATTAGATTTTTTACGCAGAAGTATGACACGCCAGTCTTCTATGAGGTCGCGGTACTTACCATAACGGACCTGCCCATTCGTGCAATAGTAAATATCACGATTATTCGTGAGCCAGCGATAATTGTAACAATTTAACTCACAACTCTAGACAGCACCCGGGCAACCAGTAGTGCGTTGTCAAAGTCAACATTATTCCTGATCACGTAATCGGCCGCGGAGTCCAGGAGCAGCTCGTGGTAGTACTCCGGGTGCTTCTCCAGCACCCGACCCTTGACCTTGGCGATGGTCCTCAGCACGTCGCTGTAGGGCAACTCGTCGATCCGCTGCGACAGGATGTCGAAGCAAATGTGCAGCAGCTGCAGCCTGGTGGGGAACAGCTGCTCGGTGCAGTTGATCTGGCAGAGAGACCACACTATGGACTTTGCTGTCTGCGCGTCTATTGCCTGGTCGTGCAGGAGGAGACCTGTGACGACATTGTTCACGCAGCGATCGGGCAGGTCGTGGTGGCAGCAGTAGGTGAGCATGTCCTTGAGCAGCGGGAGGTCATCGTTGTCCAGCTCCAACGGCAGATGAATCTGGAATGCGAGGGGCAGCGCCAGCTTGAGGACGTCCACCAAGTGGTTCTTGCTGTCGAAGCGGTCCAGCACAAAGTCTAGGAACATGATCTGGCGTATGTTGAGCAAATTTATGTCGGAGCGTATTAGCTGCAGCATGGTTTGCACAATCAACGAGTCGGAGGGGACTTTCAGGTAGGACAGCACTTTGACCGCCTCCACGGCCTCGTTCACGTCGAGAGCGCGTGCGTGTTTCTTGAAGTTTTGACAGAGAACTCCAAAAGCCGGGTCCTTTATTAGGCTCTCGCTGTGGTCGAATCTGGAAGACACCATAAAGGAAACAAATTAAAAAATTTCATTTTAAAGAAATTCAGGCCTTGTGGCTTTGCCATATTGTTGTTACCACTAGTTGTCAATCCGCCTTCCCACCCAGGGCAAACAATTTTGTTAATACTCTACAAAATTTTGTACAATTACCGCGATAGCAAACTGAGTTCAATCCCCGGTGTAAATTTTAAGTGCCGACTTACGACAACGTGCTCAGCATTGCAGGAAAATATCTTGAGCAATCCGGCATATTTTCGAAATAATAACAAAAAAAAATATTTCAGTTATGTGAAGTCTGCCAGTCGGCGGAAGGGTCGAGTGGTAGACTATGATACTCTAATACCCTCCATCAGAGTAGGCTTTTGCTCAGCAGTGAGACCTATAACAAAGGCTGTTACTTATTTTACTTTACAACAAAATGGAACCGAAAAGTTATATTCTTTAAAAGAAGGTTAGAAAACATAATTAAAAATAAATACACAATCTTTGGACTTGTAAAGAATGATATATGCGGCTACACACCTAATAATAGAATTATTCAACTGGCGCATGGTGAAAATCTGGTATTGTCATTATTTCTAGCTTGTTTGTTTAAATGTACAGACCTTCTTTAGTTTGTAATTTTCGCATATGAAAAGATAAATTTAAGAAAGTAATTGTTTAAGTTCTAACTTGCCAGACTTCTGCAGCTCAAAAAGACTGCGCAGAGCTTGCAACAGATGTTTGTGAGTCATCACTGGCAAGTGTTGTTGGACTGTGGCCAATATATTCTCTGGTGTTGGTGCTGCCTTAATGCTAGCCATTATAACGTCTTGTGTCCGAACTCGTGTAACCTCAGACACTGTAATTCATTTCATTAAGAAAAATTTACCTTCTGCTCTTTATGATCTTTTCATTAACTGAAACAATTTAACCTTTAAAAATGTTTATCATTTCATAAAAGTTTGCACAATACCAAAAGAAAAATATTGTGCTACGAACATGTTTTTCTAGTGATTCATTATCTATATTTACATTGTTTTTAAATTATAGCATTTCTGTGTATATCTTTATTAATTGCAACCAGAGATATTGGAATTCAAATTTACATTTATCTGCAGGCCTCAACTCTACAACATATTACAATTGACTACTACCTAACATCAACTTAAATGAAGTCAAGGTTGGTTTCATGAAATGAAGTTGTCAGTCAAAAATTAGGTGTAATGATGTTTCTACAAAAACCATTTTCCAAGCTACCAACAAAGGTCAATAATACATTATGAGTGACTTTGTACAAGGAGACATGGATTTCTTGCTTTGAATAATGGTACACCGACCAATTATGTTTGGAAAAATGTGTCTTACAGAGATGAATTTCGTTTTAATGGTCTGATTAAAGGGTGTGTTTATGTGTAGGATGCATCTGACCACACATAAAGATGAAATTGTAGTGTTAATAACAAAAAAATATCATAGAACAACAAAATATCATTTGAGACATTGTAGGTCATTGAATTGCAGCTATAACAGTGATATATCACTAATAAAAAATATATATAATCTTGATTTGCTAGTATTCTAAAATGCTTCAGTATGAAAAAAAATAGAACTGCATTTAATAAAAATATTTAGAATTTTTATTTTATAACAGCTTATAGAAGTGTGAATAATAAAGTAATAATACATTAGTAAAAAATATATTTACAGCTTGTTGTGAAACTTGCAGATTTGAATGAAGTTTTGCCAAGAGAGCTGCCACTTAATACATTCCTCCACACATTCTTCAATATTTGCGCCATTTTATCTGATGAAGACATCAGATTTTTTTATTGTGTACTTACTATATATACTAAAACATTTCTATTTCATTGGATTTAAAGTTATGTGGCATACTCGGTTGATAATACTGAAATGAGTACAATTTATCTGAAATTGAAAAAAATAGCAATGCTTATACTAATAAAAAGCCTGAATGGCTTATAATAGTTTCGATAAAAGTATAAAAATAAAAATGCATTGTTATTGGGAGTTTTGGCTCTTACATTCAGGAGCTGCTGTTTTATTCACTAAAAAGGTTATCTATAAGAACTTAGAAGTAATGTTTAGGTAACAAATAAGTCGAAATGTACAAATTATATAAAAAATATAGGCACTGTTTAAATTTTTATGTTTTAACAGAGTTCATAATGGGAAAAGATTAATACCTAAAATCCTACAAAAAAAAACTACAGCGTAATTATACTAACATTTATATAAAAAATTAAAATGTTTTTGCGCACCGCTTTGGATAAATTAATTATATGACAAAATTATTATCTATTCTTTTACAACATTATTCACTTTCACACATTTAGTTCCACAAAAAAAAAGGAGAATAATAATAATTAACAAATAAATAAAATTCAAATAATTCGCAGACTTTGACTGACCACAGATTCAACAGGGTTCATATTCATATTCTTCTTTTTCAAAAATTTATTATTTTTAATCTGTAATATCATTACAAAAGTAGCAAATTTCCGTAGACAGGGAAAAATTGTTTTCTCCGTTGACGGGCCCACGGCCAATATCAGGTTTAGAAAGTGGGCATCGAATGCGGGCCCAAAGACTAATAAGATCCCGCTTCTATGGGCTCCAGTTGAGCAGTTTACTGAAAAACAAATACTTATGACGCGCACAGACTACCTCCTTCACCGCGACGCCTAACTCATACCTACTGTAATTTACACTTAATGCTGCGTACATGAGTCTTTGCGCGCAGTATTCGAAAGAGAAGAGAACAATGCTCTCTCCTCACCAATCTCTGCACTGCTCGTACGGAGCTTGTCTCATTAAACTTTTTGTAGTATGATAGTAATGATTAGCAGATTAGAATAGAATGAATACAGTATCTTTCTTTCTTTCTCAATTCGTGGAATAACTAACACAATTATTATTTAATGTAGTATCATTGGTTAAAGGTCTTGTTACTAGGCCATAAAATCTTTATTAAAAAAATGTAGTGTCAATGTCATATTGATAATTGTTGACAATGATGTGGTATTTAATTATTTATTGTCTGTCTGTAACTACAATGTTGTTTTGTTTCATGTTTGTAATTTTGTATTAATCTCGAATTCTCCGTGAAATAGATAAATGGAATGTATAATATATATATAGCATATGCATGCATGTCATAACAAACCGAATATTAAATATACCTGAATAACTAAAAAGTATTTCGTAGTAAGTGAAAATAAGATAATTTCTTAAAACATGTTTCAAGAGTCTATAGTTAGTTCCAGATCTGATAGAGAAATTACGAAAAAAGTTTTAACGCCTGGCGATTTTTCCATTGTACCATATGAAGAGTCTCGATGTACAGTTGTTTTGTCAAAGGTACGATGTACTAATTCTACTGGCGAGTGTGAAATCGAAGCAGAAAGTCGTATATTTAGCAAGAATTTTGATGGACTTGTATTAATTGGAGATTCTGATTCATACATAGACAGAGACTTTGAGTTAATTCTTCAGCAGATGTGTTGTGGCGAAACCTGTTTTGGCAGAATTGTATACAGAAACAACAATAGTGAAACAGTCAAAGAGATAACCTGTGAAATAGAATTAAAAGATGTAACTGAAGAGCAATTGGTCAGCGACTGGAGTTGGGCACGCCTTTATGAAGCAGCCGGACATCATAAAGAACGAGGAGTGGCTTTAGTAAAGGAGAAAAAAATTGTAGATGCGTTTAGGAGGTTCAGTAAAGCATTTAAAATGCTGGTGGCCATAGAGCCCATAGATCCCGAAGTGATTGGTGAGGATTCTGTAAAGGAGATATTTGATTTAAAGGTATATTTTGTACATTAAAGTAATGGCACAATATCTGTCTATTTTCACTCTGTTGTCTGAATAGTTTTAGCTCTGTACTTTTCTATGAGTCAAATGTATAAAGTTATAGTTTTTCATAAAGGATTTACAAAATTGATGCAGTTCATATGTCAAAATTGTCAATAATTATAAATATATTTATTCTTTCTTAGGTCAAACTATTCAACAACTTGGCTCACTGTCAGTTGCAGTTTAATGAATATGAAGCAGCATTAGAACTGTGTAACAGAGCTTTAAAACATGATCCAGACAATTCCAAGGCCTTGTACAGGCGCTGCCTGTCTTACCAGGGTCTACAGTTGTATGAGGAGGCATGGAATGATATACAAAAGGTGCTACGCTTGGATCCCAATGATAAGGCAGCGCAGAATAAAGCCAGCGAACTCAGGCCAAAAATTGAGAAGATTAACAAAGAGTATACAAGCGTGATAAAAAAAATGTTCAATTGAATAACTGCAGACGAGAAGGCAAACAGTGTATTATATTGGGAGTTTATAGTTTAGCCAAAATTTCTATAAATTTCTTATCAATTACAATAATGAAGACTTTTAAAACCTTTAAAAATTCAAGTTGTTGGATTTTTCTGGATAAAAGTCCTTATTGTACAGTTCGGAACAACTAATTGTTAAGCATCAATATAAAAACTTATATTTTTTAATTGTAGCACAGTTTGACTAGAATACAACTTGTCACCAATTAATTTGGTAAAGAAATAAATATATTTATATGTAAAATAAATAATTTTATTTAATAAGATAAAGTTATGTTTAATGATTTGAGCTTTCAAAGACTGAAATATTAAGCAATGTTGAAAAAGGGAACACTTTGGTCGTTTGAGGCAAAAGGTTGATGGAGGGCTATGTAACAGTTTTCTCTGTTGCACGAATGGGCATGTCTTGGTAAGAACGGCCACCTCGCAGAAGTTAGGCGTGAATTGAAAAACTTCTGCGGTTTGACTGGTGAGTTAGGCAGCTGTGGCAAATTTTATTATAAAGATAAAACGCATTTGTAACCCTACGAGTGTTGCAAATTTCAATGGGCGGCGGTTATCACTTAACATCAAGTAAACCGCCCAATCCCTGTTTAGCCACTTATCAAGAGCATCTCACACATTTAAACACAGTTATCTCTGAGCGTAATTTTTTGAGTGAACCTTATTAAGTAAGTATTGACTTGTTTTTTATCTTTTTATACATAAGAACTCCGCGCTTGTTTAATCCGGCACTGGAACAACTGGCTTGCTTAGACACCTTATCCCAAAAAGAATAGTGAAAGAAATTTTTTGTAGAATAGTTATTGACCCCCAGCCACCGAGCCAAAAACACGGTCGACGGCTATCGGGTCCCAGTCCGAACCGCAATCTCGATGGCCCTTAGATGACATACTATAGTTAAGCGCACACATGAGCACATGCGTGGCCCTACCCACAGCGGAGGACCCGTGGCTAGCCCACCGGTTCTGAGTCAGATGAAGCTTTAATAGTCTCGGGACTGAAAGCAAATACATTAGTTAATACAAGATACAAGAAGATTGCATTGCCGTTAGAGTTACAGATGCGTTGCTACCTTTTGGCAAAACAATCACAGGTAATTGGTTTGAAACTTCACATCGAACTACAACGATCCCACTGTACCTAATAGTGAATAAAGTGATTAAAAAATGGAGATATAAAAGTTTCATATGCACATCTTATTCCCTAATCACAACGATATCTTACGATTTCTTTTTAAATAGTCACCTACAGAAATGAGTTTGTGATGAACCGCGAACCGCGAATTTGTGATCAGTACACGGCATCAAATATTGAGCCATCGTGGTCAATAGAATTTGATTATATAATTTGTATCAAAAATTTCAGAATCAAACCGCAATTCGCCGAGATATTATTTCACGATGATGAGAAAAAACAGTGTTTATCAACCCGCGTGTTTTATTGACTGCTCGAACAGTCCTGTAGCCTTTTATCAGAATATATCAAGAATGTCTTTCAGCATCCTTTGGTCGGTGCTTTCACTTCGCCAAAAAGCACTTTGGCTCTATATTAAATCAATAATAAACAATGTTTTAAAGTCTATTTATTGCAAACATCAACGCTTGTATCTAAGCCAAGCAGCTATAGTTATTATAGCACAGCTTTTGTAACATTTCTCAATGTTCAACAAGCAATATAATATCAATCAATCAAAAATCTTTATTCAAATAGACGCTTGCGCGTTCTTATGAATCATCAAATTTTACATAAAACATTATACATAGAGGTTCGTAAGGTACCACCGGTTCGGAAAGCAGTTTCTGTTGAGAAGAGACCGGCAAGAAACTCAACAGTTGCTCTTTTTCAAAGATATCAGTTTACAATACAGAATACCGGTATAACAGTCTTATTCTACCCTACGTGAGGCCCTAAGGTTTCTACTGTCTGGTTCTACTGTATGAAATTGAAACTGTGTTAATTTCAATAAGTCGCTCAATAAAAAAATCCGTTATCTATGTAGGTATCGTAATAAATAACTGAAGAAAAACATAACATCACATTCTTTGCATTTTTATTTTTTACAACAGACTTAAAAAAGGAGTTCTTCATTTCGACTGTATGTTTTTTCATGTTTGTTACCTCAGATTCAAATTAGTGAACACGATTTTGATGATTCTTTTTTTTATTTGAAAGGTGGAGCTTCCCATGTGGTCTCAAATAATTTCATTGGTATTGTACCTTGGGCTCCAGAGATACTGAACTGCTGAAGATAAATTATAAAATCAATACAGACCGAGATATTTGAGTCGGTTATGTTTTTCGTTAATAAAAAATGTACATAAGAAAAAATAATAAAAATGTACTTGTTCCATTGCGTAACAACACTCCTACTAACGTAATTAAATCAGTATTTGTTTCCTAGTAAACTAAAATTGACGCGTGTCTATCAAAAGGCGCCATCAAAATTTTGTTTTATGTGAAAATGGTTTTTTGCATTTTTAGCGCTCCTTGCGCCAGGCCCCTATAGGGACCACCCAAAGAGTACATTATTAATGGGACCGCCTCTTACTCTACCTCTGGGCCGGTGCTGTTGAAATATATAATAGGTGGTTCACAATCACATATTATATATTCACATATCTAAGCATAACTCAAGAATGGCTGGACCAATTCGGCTGATTTTTTTTTTGTATATTCCTTAAGATCCGCCTAAGGTTTTAATACTATATAAAAAAAGAACGAAGTCATGAAATATTTGTGATTATCTGAGCGTCTTTGTATTGAATTCGCAAACCTTACCGTACAGCATTTAAGCAACCTATACCGTGATTTTAGGCGAACCGTACGATATCTAATTGTTAAACAAGTCCATTTATATTACACAAAATAAAACTGACTTCAAGTATCTCGCATTCATTTTATTTATATTTATTTATATGGGACCACATGGGAAGCACCAGCTTTCAAATAAATAAAGCATCATCAAGCGGTTCACCCAGTCGAAAGTTATGAGGTAACAACCATAAAATAATACAGTCGAATTGAGAACCTCATCTTTTGAAGTCGGTTAATGACCACATAATGGTTTTTCGTATTCGGCTCCCACGCCATCTAACGAATAAAGTGGCTACTAACTTTATTTGCATCTTGAACAAACAGTGAACATTTGTGTTTTTAACCGACTTCAAAAAAGAAGGAGGTTTCTCAATTCGACCGTATATATTTTTATTTTTTTCATATCTGTTCGCGGATAGCTTCGTCATTTAAGAACCGATTTAGATAATTCTTTTTTTGTTGGAAAGAAGATATCCCAAGGGTGGTGCCATGATAAGGAAACCCGGATTTGATAATGGCATCCCAGAGGAATCGAGGGCAATCCTCAAATTTTATAGGCGTTGACAATGTTTTAATTACTTTCCTGTTTGAAGTCATCAGAAAGTTTTTTTTGTTCAAAATTATTAGTACTTGTATTATGTGAGGTGGCAAGCAAGCTGTTGGTTCACCCGATGTTAAGTGATAACCACCGCCCATTGATATTTGCAACATCCATCGGGTTGAAGATGCGTTGCCTTATAATAAAGCGGGCTCCGGCTACCCCTCTCACCAGATGAAACGCAGAAATATAACACTTCCAGTTCACGGCGGTCTTTTGTGAGGTCGTCGTACTTACCCAGACGGACCTGTCGGACAGTTAAAATGTGTGCATTTTGTAAATGTGCAATTAAATTGTGACCTACGTCGATCGGACATTCCGTCCAAATCCCACTTGTCAGGGTTGAGAAAAAATTAATGATAAAAGACGTAATAACTATTTATCGTTTTATTTAAATACGACTATTATAGAAACAGCACTGTGAACACATTTACAGGACATTGTATCATCGTACGTTCTATTAATGTAACGCGTGCTCTATAAATAATTATATCGATTTTATCGGGCGAGTACCGCATACAAGCCAGTTGTTGGATTAATTTTGGTTGTTTGCGGTAAAAAAAAATATTGGAGTGAAATTAAAATACAAACGTTACACGTGACGTCACCCACACGTCTCGGTCCAGTGCTGACATCATGCTTCGACCTCACGCCCAAAGGCCCTGAGTTTCACTGATAGTGATGCCAAGAACAGTTATCGATATTGTAATTGTCTTAACTTTAGCCTTAACATCTTATACGATGACGGTAATAAATAATATAGTTTTATTGTAAACTGTAAGGGTTGGATTATTAGAGAGCATTAGAAAAATCAAAGTTATGTTAAAGTTGAAAGCCTGTCCCGACAGCATGTGTTACTTACGTTTTGCCTTTTCAATCGACTTCAAAAAAGTGGGGTTTTTACGTGAAAAGCTGTCAAGCGAGCAGGCGTTTCACCTGATGTTTAATGAATACCGCCGCCCATGGACATCTTCGTGCGATGGCTGGCTGATGCGTTGACAACCTTTAAAAAAGTGAACCTTGGTTGAGGTTGAACTTCCACTTCAGGCTGGTCTTCTGCGAGGCCTTGGTACTTCTCCGGACGAGCCTGCCCATACGTGCAACAGCAAAAGCTGTTGCGTGGCCCTACAACTTTTGATATTTGTAACGTCAGAACTCTGGCATTTATGATCCAATTTAAAAACTTCTTTCTACATTGGATTTGCTTTAGCTCACATATGGCCATATTAATTTCATTGGTAGATAGAAACTGCGTAAATACACCAGGGAATTCCTCAAAATCAAAAATAAAAATAGAAAAAGATTAATGACGTGTTGTAATTGTTCACAGTGACCACGGCTATCACTTAAAATTGATCAGCCACTTCGCCACATGAAAAGAAATGAAAATTGTCTTGGACAAAACGACGAGGAAATCACCGGTCCATATAATGTCGACTCACCATTTGTCATCGACGGTTTCGCGTATCGACCTCGGCAATAGGTACACCACTACAGCTTCAGCACTGAGCACTCATTCAACAGTCTAGACCGCCGCCGAGTTCGCGGATAACGTGTCTCCCTTGCGTTCGTTTGTTTGTTTCAACGTTCAACTTGTTTACAATTTGTGCACCAAATGTCCGGTAAGTCTCATTTTTGTATACTTTATATCTAAAGTTTTATTTATTGCGTGAGCTAAAGCAATAGTATTTCTGTTGTTAAGATGGTTTCTATCTACAAACATGTCTAAGTATATTGTTTTTTTATAGTAGTGTCGATGTTGTTTCATAGTAAAGTAATATGTTGTTTAATACACATATAAGTTGCAATCACTGGTATAAAGAAAACAAAACATGTGTAATCCAAAATTATTTCTATTTTCTGACAACTAAAATTCTGTCCGTAATGTTTAAATTATAAGCAAGGACAACAAGTCCTTCAGCATTGTTTTTGTGTAGTTATTGTGCAAACAGCTTTTATGACAGGTTAAAAATATTTTAATCTCACACAGTTTTCTATTCTGTTTTATCCATATGAAAAAGAAGAGCCTGTTAATCGTCTAGACAATTTAGATCAAAATGTAGATAACATGGAAAATTTACGTTTTTTAATCGGTCGTTACAGCCGGGCTTAGTGAATTTAAAAAGGGTTATAGCTAAGTCAAAGATATAAGTAAGGGCCAGGCCGTCTAACTAAATCAGAACGTATTAGACGCAATGTGAACAAAAACCGGTTTGTCGCTACAGCCCACCGATTGGGTCAACCTTCGAATCCAGAATCCCTTGGTCGTCTACGAGTCTTAGAACAAAAAATTACTGTGCATTTTTGTTTCATTGAACGGACTTTGTTATGTTTTTAAATTTACCGTGAAAAGATTTATACTTTTATTCTTTACATTATTTTAGTAGTCATTTTTCAATATAATATCATTTAATAATAATGATATGAACATTAAGCATAATATGAGGCTCTCTCTCCGATTTTGTGAATTTTTCTCTGTGATTCGACATACTAAGGTTTTCATTAGTTTTTTATTAATAAAAAGTACCCTTCAGCAAAAACACTTAAGGCACTGAATCTTAATATAAATTAATAAATACTAGATACAATAACTTTACATAGTATAAGAAAAATCGGCCAACTGCGAGTCGGACACGCGCACGTAGGGTTCCGTACCATTATCTACGAAACAAATTATCTCTAAAAAACTATGTCTGTTGTATCAGTTGTATGGAAGCCCCACTTAAATATTTTCTTATTCTGTTTTTAGTACTTGTTGTTATAGCGGCAACAGAGATACATCATCTGTGAAAATTTCACCAAGATACAACTGGACACGCAGACAGAAAGACAGACAGCGGAGTCTTAGTAAAAGGGTTTCGTTTTACCCTTTGGGTACAGAACCCTAACAAAGTCGCTCCCGATATTTGTACGCTTAGATTTTTAAAACGAGTCTCTAACGGGTGTACTTAAAGCGTAGCTGCCGCGTAGCCCTACCACAATAAGTCACCAGGACTTATTGTGGTAGGGCTACGCGGCAGCTTATGTCGTTGCACAAATGACCTGCCCTTCTTAGGAAGTAGGTGCCGCAGTTTCACAGAAGATCGGCGTGAAGTTAAAGTCCTATCCTTTTGTTTTTTATCTAGTGAGTGGGGTCAACTTTTTTACGTTGACAACACATTAGTATAGTCTCGTAGTTATTGTGTGATTGTGTCTGATAACATACAGATTCCGAACCATGTTTTGATGAAAAATCAGTGATTGTCGGCGATAAAAGCAGCTTTATTATGTGAGAAGATGATGGCAAACGAGCTCGCGGTTCACCCGATGTTAAGTGATAACCGCCCCCCATGGACATCTGCAACACCCGTAGGGTTGCAAATGCGTTGCCACCTTGTAACAAAGTGTTCGCAGTTACCTCACTCACCAGACGAAACGCAGAAGTATAACAATTTTACTTAACGCCGGTCTTCTGTGAGATCGTGGCACTTACGTGGACGGAGCTGCCGTTTCGTGTAACAGAGGGGACTGTCGCGTGGCCCCACCGCTGTTGTTTGTTTTCAGCAGCTCAAGGAAACTGACTTTTACACGGGTAACATTCGGCTATAGATGAAGCCTTGCAGTATACGGGCTGAAAGCATAAAAAAATCAAAAATATATTTCTTCACATAGACGCTTGCGCGTTCTTATGAAATGTCAAAAATTTTACATAAAAATTAATACGTTCGTAAGTTGCCACCGGTTCGGAAAGCAGTTTCTGTTGAGAAGAAACCGGCAAGAAACTCAACAGTTGCTCTTTTTTAAAACGATTAGTTTACAATATAATCATCGTTTCAGCATTTTTAGTCCATTGCTGAACATAGGCCTTCCCAACAGACTGCCACGAAGCACGATCGTGAGCCACCTGCATCCGTCGACTCCCCGCATATTTGCACAGGTCGTCACTACATCCAGTGGGGGGTCGCCCTACACTGCGATGGCCAGTACTAGGCTGCCACTCGAGAACCTTTTTTCCCTAACGGTTATCGGTTCTACGAGCTATATGGCTGACCCATCGCCACTCCAGCTTACTAACCTTCTGAGCCATGTCGGTTACCTTTGTTCTACTGCGCATGTCTTCGTTGCGAACTCTGTCACGCAGAGAAATACCGAGCATAGCCCGCTGAGCGACTCCGAGCTTCCTCATACGGACAGCAATGAAGGATCTCGTCTCAGTTCCGTATATCACTGACAATACACATTGGTTGAAGACTTTAGTCTTCATTGAGGTATATTCGACGGGAAGAAGTTTCCCTAACGCTACCCATCCAAGTTGTATTTGCCTATAGACCTCTGCGTCGAAGTAAATGAAAGCTTTTGTTAATACAGTCGACTTGTTTCTCGCAGCCACCGCGGTGAAGCTTTCCGATGGCAAGGGGCTGGCGTTCGTGCGGCCGACGCCGGATCACACGTTTGAGCTGGACGAGGAGCTCCTCGCCGGCCTGCTGGACCGTCAGGACATCAGGAACCGGTCCGTGATCTTCGTCGCAGTGGCGGGCGCCTTCCGCAAGGGCAAATCCTTCCTACTCTCCTTCTTCCTACGCTATTTGTATAACACGGTGGGTTATCAATTAACATCCCTGTTAATACAGCTCGAATCGCATGTAGTGTGTTCTCATTTTACAGAACTGCTTACTATATTTTAAACGCGAAAGTAATATGTGTGTTTTATCCCCTTTATTAGTAAAGAGAATAACGCAGGAAACTCTACGTATAAAGTAATCATCATGATGGATCATGCCATGTCGAATGAAAATTTTATATATAAAACTTGAGCTTTCTTTTCAAAAAAATTCAAAAACTTGCCGGAGGATTGACTAGACATTTGTTGTGTATCTTGTAACTGATGTTTGTGCTTTCAGTCCCGAGACTAAAATGCTGATTTATCACATGTTCGGCAGTAAATCAAAACTCGACGAAAACGAATTTTTTTCATTTTTTGAAGCTTAATTTTTTGTTCAATAAATAAATATGTTAACGTTTAATATAGAAATCTAACTGTGTTATGTACATATAACGGTGGTAGCGCAACGCGTATTCACTGTTGCAATTATCTGTGGTTGTTTTACCAAAAGGTAGCAACGCATCTGTAGCTCTAACGGCAATGCCATCTTCTTGTATCTTGTATTAACTAATGTTTTTGCTTTCAGTCCCGAGACTATTAAAGCTTCATCTGACTCAGAGCCGGTGGGCTAGCTAGAACCCACGGGTTTGGGGGTTGGAGAGATTTGTTTAAACATAGCTATTGAAAAAAAAAAGAGAAACATGGTCGAGTGCAGTTAGTAGTTAATATTTCTAATTTAAATCGTATGGCTAGTGCGTGGTAGGGCTGCGGCAATACTTTATGTACAGATTACGTACAACTTAGTATTTGAGTAAGTTGTTCTTATAAGATCTGGATCTTATAAGAAGGAATACGGCTGGATCGTATAAGAACTTATAAGATCCAGCCGGCTTAGGCGCGAGAACTAAAGCAGAATAAGCACCGTCAAACTGTAAATAAAAGCCTCTTTGAATTCCTTTATGCTTTTAATGGGTAGACAACAGATTAGACGTCAACCCACCATTTTACGGCAATATTGTTTTCAGTTTTGGTTGTGGTGTATAGTGTTGAATCTTGCGATTTCAGGCCTTTGTATTGTTATATCAGAGGTTACTTGAAGTAATTGATTTCAAGTTGTTGTTTTCAAAACAGCAATTTGGGTGGTCCAAAATGTTTAAAAAGTAGTCGAAAATTGGACTTCCAGAATTGAAATCACATGGGAGCTAAATCGTTTTATAAATTTTCTTTATCGGGTTCTGAGGTAGTAAAGTAAAGCCTCCTCTGCACAAAGGGTATCAGGGCATAGTCCACCACGCGGCCCCACTGTGGATTGGCGGACTTCACATATCTTCGAAATATTTTTTTGTTATTATTTCGAAAATATGCAGGTTTTCTCACGATGTTCTCCTTCACTGCTGAGCACGTGATAATTCAGCACTTAAAATTAACAATTCAATTGGTGCCGGCACCGGGGTTCGAACTCAGGTTGCTCGAGTATATTGAATTAAAGGCGAGCGCCCGGACACTGAGCTATCACGGCTCAAAGATCATATATTAGGTTGCAAAATGATGCAATATCTTCAAAGACAAATTATGTTCATCTTCAAACATAATAAAAACAAAAACGGACGAATTAACAACCTCCTTTTTTGAAGTTGGCGGAAAACTTAACAACCTGCAATTACCTATAAAGTCCTGCAACTATCGATTTTTTGAGATATAATATCAAAAAAAGTTAAAAAAACATCATATTCTATCAAATATTTAAAACATTAAATCTAACCTAATTACGTATTATCTACTAAACCTAGTCCACGCCCTCTGCGCTTTTCTCTTATAACTGATTTTGAAATGCCTAACATGATTGTGATATTTCATAATTTGCACTTCCTTCACGTATTGAACACATGCAATAGTATCATTAACGTTAAAATATATATAAAAAGTACTGTGCCTAAATATAATTATGTATGTAGGTTTATATAGGCTGAGTTATATTTATAATCATGAAAATAAATGCACCCAAGTAATATGCAGGAAAATTAAATACTAGATATAGTTTCACTACAAATATGTATTGTTAATGAGAGGGTAAACCGCAACAAAATGTAATATAATAATCAATCCTCAATAAACTCATAATAATTTCTCGTGTTTACGCGAATTACTTTGTATTGTTAAATATAACTAATTTATGGATATTTTTAATTTTAGATGTTGATATGGCATTATTCGTATTGGCATTGATCATTCGAAAAATAAAAATTTCGTAGACATGTGAAATCCTCCAATCCGCAGTGGGGCCGCGTGGTGGACTATGCCCTGATACCCTCTGTACAGAGGAGGCCTTTGCCCAGAAGTGGGACATGTATAGGCTGTTACTTTACTTTTTAACTTTTTGTGTGATGTCTACATCATTATCATAATGTGGGCCTGTTTTAGTCCACCGCACACGATCCTGAGCCACCTGCATATCCTGCATAGAGCTACTAAAAGTGCTCATCCACGTTAAACCGACTAGCGCAAGGTCTAAAAGGTCTTAGGCCAGCTTATTGCGGTGCACGTGCGGTGCCTTTGCCCAGCTGTGGGACATGTATAGGCTGATACTTTACTTTCACTTTAGGCGTTACTACTAAACGCAGGTTGGAATGAAGCAGCGACGAAAAATTCACATTTTAAGTTTAAAATAAATCACGTTTTAAGTTGAACTCGAACACCTTTATTTATTTTATTCATTTATTTTTAAACTTCATGCACAAAACAGTACATAGGCGGACTTAATGCTGACAGCATTTTCTACCAGTCAACCTTAGGGTGGTACTGAGAAGTTGAGGTAGGTGCACAAACACAGTTATAAACTAAAAAGAAAAAAAAACATAATTATTAAATATAAAAATATAACACATAATATAATTTTAGCATACAATACTTTTAAACGATACAATAAGTATGACCTTACAAATACATAATTATGTACTTTAATATACATGTATAAATAAACAAACTACAGTCTATGGTTTAGGGACGGATCATTAAAATTTAGTGGATCAGTGAAATCCCTTTTTACAAACGTAAGAAACGTTTATTTGAAAATAAATTTGATATTGTATAGCTTCAATAAGTAATTTTTCGTCGAGGTCGTGAAAAATATTTTTCGTACGGTCGTTCGTACTCATAATTCTCTTAATCTTAGCAATATTTACAAAATGCCTCACAACCATATTAAATTGTATAAAATAAACAACAGAGTAAGCTTTTAATGTGTATGTATGGATGGATGTTTTTTGGATGATGTTTGTAACTCTTTCACGCAAATACTAGTGAATGGATTATAACGAAACTAAAATAATATAGCTTATACATCAGAATAACACATAGGCTATAATTTATATACACATTTTATGTATATCTGTCTTTCTGTCGGAATGTTACGCCTTCAGCCTATTCTACGCAGACGTAGTTGCGGGCTAGTTTAATCATAAAGGATAGATGTAGCTTTAAAAAAGCTTAGCTAGCTTTAAAATAGCTAGTAAAAAAAAGCTTTTTCCGTGTTTCAGTACGAGCTCAAGTTGGACAACGACGACTGGTTGGGGGCGGAAGACCAGCCGCTGAAGGGCTTCAGTTGGCGCGGCGGCGCCGAGCGGCACACCACCGGTCTACTGATCTGGTCGCAGCCGTTCAAGGCCACCCTCGATAATGGGGAGGAGGTGAGCCTTTTAAATTTTTTCACAAACACGTGTGTTGTGTTACTTTGCTTTACAGGTCTCAAACTATGTTCGGCAATTCTCATCAGTATCCGTTCCTCATCTGAAATCGGAGAAGCCAGGACACTGGTCGAAAAGCAAACTTTAAAATTCCGGTTACCCATCATAGATATTCTGACATCTTGGTTGGGAGAGGTGACCCTTTGTCGCGCTGTTTATCACCTTGCCAACTAGTTTTGTATGTCGCTTTTTGGGTACCATTTTTTTACGTTGGATCTATCTCTGTCGCATCAGCCGGGGACACGGGAACACGAAGACGCAATCTTCCGCGACTCCGGCACGACTATGGCCTTCTTAGGCCTCCTATTCTCGGGTGCTGGGTCACAGTCCGGCTAAAAGGTGCTGTGCCGGTGCAATTAGGACAGCATCCTCATGACCCCCTTGTGCAACAGCAGACGCCCCCATGCCTGCCACTCGGGGTCCCACTATCAGCCGAAACGCTCTGGCCTCCTGCGGCGGATTTCCAAGGTGGCAGGTGGCTTCGCACGGCTATATTATACATACAAACCTTCCTCTTGAATCACTCTATCTAGTAAAAAAAAAACGCATCAAGATCCGTTGCGTAGTTTTAAAGATCTAAGCATACATAGGGACAGATAGACAGCGGGACGACTTTGTTTTATACTATGTTGTGATTAACCTCGAAAAAGGTTTCCTGAACATGTGCTTGGATCTAAAAATGTGAGTTATTTTAGATGAATGGACTTCGGCGTTACTGGATTCACCAGGCTAGCAATAAAGATAAAATTAATGATGAAATTGTGCTTCGATATTCCAGGTAGCGATATTCCTAATGGATACCCAAGGGACCTTCGACAGCGAGTCCACTATACGCGACAACGCCACGGTCTTCGCTCTTTCCACCATGGTGTCCTCAATCCTAATCTACAATCTTTCGCAGAACATCGAGGAGGACGATCTGCAGCATTTGCAGGTGACTTTCGCAGGAAACGTTCCTCTGCTACGGCGATTAAGCGCAGGATCACCGCTTCTGTTCTGTGCAATGCTTATTTTTATACCATAAACTGGTTACACTTTGACACGAAAACGTTTTGGATCAGTAAATAATCACTAAAACATGACACATAAAAAGAAGACGGTAACGCTGACACTCAATCAGTTATCCTTACTCCTTACTTAATAATATCATAAAGGCGAAAGTTTGTATGTATGGATGGATGTTTGTTACTCTTTCACGCAAATACTACTGAATGGATTTTAATGAAATTTTACAATAATATAGCTTTTACATCAGAATACATTACATCTTTCTGTCTTAATGTTACACCTTCAGTCTATTCTACGCAGATGTAGTCGCGGGCAGCGACTAGTATTATATATATGCATATAACATTATATATATAATATTCCATTACAATTAATTACAAAGTTCTGAAAACTATTTATGTATTACGTTGTTTTTTTTTCTTACATCACTTGCTTGGGCTCGACTATTCTTTAAAGATAATTATGTACTAAAGGTGGAAACTTGTAATTGGCTCTTTATATCCATACTAATATTATAAATGCGAAAATAACTCTGTCTGTCTGTCTTGCATTCACGCTAAAACTACTGAACCGGTTTAAATGAAATTTGGTACACAGATAGTCTAGAACCTGAGAAAGGACATAGGCTATTTTTATTGGAACAAAGTGTTGTAAAGGGTTGAAAATACCTTTCTTTAAAATATATATATATAGTTTTTAAAGAAAGATATTTATTTAAGAGCTTCATCACTAGCTTTTCGCCCGCGGCATTAAGCTAGTATGTTATAATGTTCTTTTAAAGCTGTAAGAGCTGTTTTGATCGAACGTCGGTGTTAAAGCTGTTCACAGATTATGGCAGAGTGGCATTGGAGAAGACGGAGGGCAAGCCGTTCCAGCACCTGATGTTCCTCGTGAGGGACTGGAGCGTGCCGTACGAATACGAGTACGGAGCTGAGGGCGGCCAAAGGTTTTTGGACAAGCGGCTGGAGGTACGTCATCATTTATTTAGAGAGAGAGAGATGACTCGGTGACGCCGTTGTTAAGCTATTAGCTGCGGCGTCGAGGGTCGTGGGTTCGATTCTCGCACGGGACAAGTATTAGTGTGACCCACAGGCAATTGTTCCGGATCTGGGTGTTTGTTTCCCAAGAAGCGTTGACGTCAGGCGGGACAACATGATTCAAATGTTGTGCCGACCCCACCTAGAAGGAGGAAAATGATGGATGATGATGAGAGAGAGAGGGAGAGAGCGAGACATTCAAAGATTTAGAAAAATAACTCGCTTCACTGTCTTCGCGTATATACTCCATTCATCGCTTTACAAAGGTCACAAATGCCCAGACGGGAACACGAATTACAGCGTGAACTTGTAACTGTGATAGAGCCACGCAACAGTTTACGCTGTTGCACGAATGAGCAGCCCCGGGTAAGAAACACGACTTAACAAAAGACCGGCGTGAAGTGAAAGTGGCATACGTCTGCGTTTCGTCTGGTGAGTGAGGTAGCCGGGGCCCACATTATTAAGGTCGCAACGTCACTTAACATCCGGTGAACCGCTAGCTTGGCACTTTGCCACATAAAAAGCTAGCGTTCCATAGGAATTTTTGTATTTGCAGACGAACTCGACTCCCTAACCCCGTGTATCTAACGCTACAGGTCCACGAGAACCAGCACGAGGAGCTGAAAACCCTCCGGCGCGAGATCAAGTCGTTCTTCGCGAAGCTGTCTTGCTTCTTGATGCCACACCCTGGCATGAAGGTGGCCACCAACCGCTCGTTCGACGGCAGACTCTCGGGTTAGATGACATGTTAATTAGTCCGCTTTACATTATATATCACTAGTTACCCGCCTCGGCTTCGCACGGGTGCAATGTATTATACATATAAACCTCCCACTTGAATCACTCTATCTAGAAGAAAAACCCGCATCAAGGTCCGTTGCGTAGTTTTAAAGATCTAAGCATACATAGGGACAGACGGTCAGCGGGATGACTTTTTTTTATACTATGTAGTGATATAAGTAAATGACAGATGATATAGAACGTATGATACTGAAAGAGATAGAAGTCTATAGAATTGCAATCAAAACAATGGTACACATCAATAACATTGGTGTAATTTGAGCGCTTCGTTTTCGTTGCGCTAGTGTCATATCTACCTCGTTTTTGTATATAATTAAAAAAAATGGCCAAACAAATGCTTCGGCCGCCTGGGAATCGAACCCACGATCCCCACCGTCGAAGCCGTTAGCTTAGCAACTGCACAAGCGAGTCATCAACATTAAAAACATATTCAACGGAATTAAAAGTTAATATTGTATTGAGCTGTTATAGCTCAGTGTACGGGCTCTCGATTTAAATTCAACATACTCGAGAAACCCGAGTTCAAATCCTGGCGTCATTGAAATTGTTAAAAGTGCTTACTTATGTATGACATGCTCAGTGATAAGAAAAAAATTGTGAGGAAACCTGCATATTTTATAAATAATAACAAGAAATAAATATTTTCAAGACATGTCCGCCAATCCGCACTGGGTTCGCGTGGTGAACTACGCCCTAATACCCTCTATATTGATATCTTTGCCCAGCGGTGGGATACAATATATGCTTTATTTATTTATTTATTTATACTTTATTGTACACCAAACAAAAATAACTACAAGTGAATATAAAAGGAAGTACAATAGGCGGTCTTATCGGTCAGAAAGCGATTTCTTCCAGACAACCATTGCGCAAAGAATTTTTGCTGAAGAGACATTAAGAAGAGTGTACATGACTCTTGAGAGAAAATCTCTTTATTTGACATCACTTAAAAAAAATACATATTCAAAACGTAAACAGAAAAATGACTATTGTGACATCAAATTGGAACTCCATTTCAGCAAAATGCTGCAGTTCTATTTGTAGTACAGCGCTGATTTTTCAATTGGAGCCTAAAGTTGACTTCACGGACGAAAATACTACTAATATTATTATTTACTGGAAGAGAAAAAAAAATAATAGTAATACAAAAAAATAATAATAATGATAACAATTACAACAAAATTAACAATAAAAATAAACATATATATATATATATATATATATATATATATATATATATATATATATATGTTTATTTTTATCCATAATATTTATTTCATATATGCAATATATATCTATATCTTTATTTTTATTTATAAACCCAACCAGACGAGAAAACAAATGAATATCCCCCATAACAATTAATTACGTTCCTTTACAAGTGGGCTGCAAAGTAAAATATAATCAGAATCAGAATAAAATATAACATTGCAAACTACATAATATATCATATTCAGATATTAAATACAATAAATATAGTAAAATAAGCATAATTAAGTAAATATACCAATAGAGATAAGTAATAAAGGCAGAATGAGACACAGAATGTGATTGGTTGAGGCAATATAATAGCCGATAAGATGGAATTATTAAAAGAATTTGTTTGTACATAAATTATTTATGAATTAGAGGATGTTTGGTCATTCACTCTTGGAACACTTGTAAACTCTTATTTTAATTTCATATATCATAGCGAAATATAAATGTATCGCATTCCACTCGTCAGATATCGACACGGAGTTTAAACAGCAGCTCAAGAAGTTAATCCCCAGCCTGCTTGCGCCAAAGAACTTGCAAGTCAAGGTCATGTCGGGGCAGAAGATAAAAGTCAAGGACCTACTCCATTACATAAAGGCTTACGTGGCGGTGTTCAACGGGTCGGACCTCCCTGTCCCGCAGACGATTTTAGAGGTAAATAGGGAATAATAGTAATTGCAATAATGAAGTATTTAAGTCTCTGGAAGGAATGCATTATTAATTTTCATTCCATACAACTTTGCGGTTTGAAGGTGCAAATATCTTGTTTTGCTTCTAGGGACGACATAGTTTTTAAGTTCTTTGTGTCGTAAATAACATTGCATCTGGTAGAAAATCAACGAAACAGTACAGGGGCCTTTGCTGTTCCGAGAATGAACTGGCCTGACCAGAGAAGTGTGTATCAAAAAGTAGTGGAAGTATTTTTTGTTTTTACGTCTGTGGAGTTTGTAACGGTGGATCAACAACAAAGTTCGCCAACGCACCTTTACCTTTACTGCAGCGATACGAACGGCCGAAAGTGCCAGTGATATTTGTTATGCGAGAAGGTGGCAAACGAGCTGGTAGTTCACCTGATGTTAAGTGATAACCGCCTCTCAATGGCATCAGCAACACCCGTACGGTTGCAGATGCGTTGCCGCCTTTCAATGAAGTTGGCCCCGGCTACCTCACTAACCAGACGAAACGCGGGAGTATAACACTTCCACTTAACGCGGGTCTTCTGTGAGGTCGTGGCACTTACCTGAACGGACTTGACCATTCGTAGATTAGATTAGTAGATAGCTAAGATTATTCAATTGTACAATCCGTTTTACCTTTTGCCAGCTTCGTATCAACTAGGTGCATTTTCAAAGGCTCAAAGGAATAAAGGCCAAATTCAGTGACGCGACCCAGACAATTTTGAGACCGACAAATCCCGATTTCTTTACACGTGACTCTGGTAGCGTAGTGTCGCGGAGTTCAAGTTCCTATCGTCCCTCTCTCTCTCTTGCAAGCGACCGCTGGTGTCGCGGCGTTCTAATTAGCCCCCTTCTAGCTCTCGCAGACGATAGTCAGTATCGCCCCTCTCGCTCTTGCAGGCGACCGCGCAGGCGAACAACCTGTCGGCGGTGGCGGACGCGCGCGAGGTGTACGAGACGCTGATGGAGGAGGCGGCGGGCGGGGCGCGCCCCTACCTGCCGCCCGACCGGCTCGCCGGGGAGCACCGGCGCGCCGTGGACAAGGCCCTGCTCAGCTTCCACAGCAAGAAGAAGATGGGCGGCGAGGAGAAGGCGGAGCACTACAAACAGCAGCTGCTGCAGGTGAACATTGTATAACCCGCCCGCCCCGGCTTCGCACGGGTGCAATGTATTATACATATAAACCCTCCTCTTGAATCACGCTATCTAGTAAAAAAAACCGCGTCAAGGTCCGTTGCGTAGTTGATGACTTCGTGGCGCAGTTGCTAAGGTAATGGCTTCGGCGTCGGGGATCGTGGGTTCGATTCCCACACGGGACAACTATTTGTGTGACCCTCAGATAGTTGTTTCGCATCTGGGTGTTTGTTTAATTGAAATTTATGTTTGTAAAACGTCCTTACAACACAGGACAATGTCATCCTAAAGTATGGGCAATGTTTAAAAAAAAAATAAAGAATGAAGTATAACAGACAGGCCTGCGGGACGACTTTGTTTTATTTATACTATGTAAGTGATTAACGCCCGGCTCCAATGTTCGACGAACGGCCATTAGTTACGTAGCTTCGTAACTTTCATACTGATTTGTAGATTAGAGTAACGCTAGTAAATCACTTTCCGTAGGTAATGCAAGGGCTCGTAAGGAAAACGCCTCGTTTTTGTTAATATAGGAACCGGGTGTACACGTCTTTTATCTACAAAATGTTATGAAAGTTAGGAAGCTATGTAACTAACGGCCGTTCGTTGAATATAGGAACCGGGCATAAAACAGCTTAGATTAATTTGAACCATAGACACACATGTTGTTCTGTTGACTTGTCTACGACGTGGTATATTATTTTGTTTCTGCTGCTCTTTCATCTTGATGGGGTCTTTTCAGGTTTTTTTTATCGGCCGCCTGCTTGACGTCAACCCTCTTTGAGAATGAACACCCAGAACCGGAGCAATTATCTGTGGGTCGCACAAATACTTGTACCGGTTGGGAATCGAATCTACGACCCCCGGCTACCAAGCCAATAGCTTAGTAATTGCGCCGCCGAATCGTCGGTGTGGCATATTACTTATGCAATATTCTTTCGGTAGCCAATTGTGGAAAGGATTTTTTATTAGAAATTGATTTAATCTAAAGTTCCTTTCTGTTCAAGGATTATGTTTTAAAAGTAAGGCCTGCCTTTTGCAGAAGTAAAATAAATATTTCGAAGATTTGTAATTCCACCAATCCGGTTCGCTCGTTTGTCTCTGCCCTATCTTGTATTAACTAATGTTTTTGCTTTCAGTACAGAGACTATTAAAGCTTTATCTGACGCAGAACCGGTGGGCTAGCCAGAACCCACGGGTTTGGGCCCTCCGCTGTGGGTAGGGCCGCGCATGTGCTCATGCGTGCGTTTAACTATGATATGTCATCTAAGGGCCATCGAGGTTGCCGTTCGGACCGGGACCCCGATAGCCGTCGACTGTGTTTTCAGCTAATCGGTGGCTGGGGGCGGTGAGAACCGCACTGGAACGCGGGTGTACCTTGTGTACGCGTTGTGTTGGTTTCGCCGTGCTCGGAGGCGAGGGCGAACTATAGCGTTTGTTCTTACACTAGCTGTGGGTGTAGTGTTATCTGGCGAGAGAACTTCTCTGCCCTATACACTCCATACAGAGGTTTTGCGCAGCAGTGGATAGTATATTAGCTGCTACTTTTTTTTTTTATTTTACTTTATATTAGGTACTGCGAATTTTTTTTAGCATAAACTGACTGAATTGTATAACATAATTTGACTTCGACTTCCAGGATCTAAACGAAGACTACGAGAGGCTGCGAGCGCAGAACGAGAGCAAGAGTATGCTGAACCTGTTTGGCACCGGCGTGGTGTTCGCGGTTCTGCTGGTGGCTGGTGTCGTGCTGAGCATGATCGCACGCACGATCGGCATACGGCTGCTGGAGGCGGCGGGCCAGGGGGTCAGCCTCGCCGCACTGTGCGCTCTAGGGCTCTGGGCCTACAGCAGGTACCCTTCGCCAAAACTCGCAACGACAGCATGACTCAACTGTGGTAGGGCCACGCAAGTGTTCGCTGTTGCACGAATGGGCAGGTCCATCCGGGTAAGTACCACGATCTGACAGAAGACCGTGGAAGTGTTATACTCCTGCGTTTCGTCCGGTGAGGGAGGTAACCGGGGCCCACTTTATGTTAAGGTGGCAACGCCTCTGCAACCCTACGTGCTGCGGTGAGGCTTTCTCACATAAATAAAAAAGATTACGAGCCTACGACTTATATGGTGTTTTGTTACTTACACTAGGGACGGAGCAGTAAGACTGTATTGGGTTTATACTTACTAATTAAAAATAAACATTTCACGATTTAATTAATTGTAATGTAAATATTAACTAATGTCGACTGCACCTTTGTGTATTATGAAAAAACATTCAAGGCCTATAAATAAACACATCGACCTTTGGAAAGAAACAATCTACTAATTTTGATTTCGAAAGTAACCTAAACGCATGGTTCATTGCTTTAAGATCACTTAGGTCAGTTTGAAATATAAATGAATGTAATAAATAAATAAAAATGAATGTTGGTAAGCGCATAACTCTAGAATGGCCGGACCAATTCAGCTAAGTTTTTTTTTGTATGTTCCTTAAGGTCCACGGAAGAATATTTAAAAAATCTACTTATAACATGAAAACATTTCATGTTTTAAATATGCTACTTAGTCAATCTTCACTATTTTCTTATTAGGGGAATACAGATTAGTTACTCAGATTTTGACATTTGACTTTTATTTGTTACAGATTTACGGGCCAAATGAGAGAAATAAGCGAATTCTTGGATGAGGTAGCACGCAATCTGCGAAACAGTGTAAGTAAAAATAAATTTTAAATAGGTACTTACATATGAATGTCACCGCAGTAGAATAAGTTACGCCTATACGCCACTAGAGTGCAATCTTGTTGTTCGCACGTGCACGCAGTTATAATAAATGATAGAGAAAAATCACTAATGAATTTATCAACAAGCAGAATGCGGCGGTCGCTTATAGTTTTCGAAAAAATAAATAATGAAATAGTGTGATTTTTACTATAGAAATCCGCCATTTTTTTTTGTTGTCAATTCTGCTCGTATTTCTTGGTGTTCATAAAAAAAAAACCTAACCACGAATGTTAAGGCGGGAGCTCCGCTCCCGCTTGAACCTTCTAACCTAATCTATCCGAGTCGGATTCGCTCTGTGTCGGTTCTGTGACTCAATTCTACTGCGGTGGCCTTATTACGTAAGTACTTTTAAATATCAACCCGACTATTTTGTACATATTCTATAACATTTAAAATATTTCGCTTTCGGCTTGATATGCCCATTGCGTGCCAGCATTGCCATGTAAACCCACATTCCCAGAAATACAATGATAGTACATACAAAGATGGGAATGACATTACTGCAACGAACTGAGTCACGCAAATTACACCAATTGGTGTAATTAATTAGATTGCAATCCTACAGACTGCTATCTCTTTTCATATCATACGTTATCATATGTCACACTCATATAAATGTCATATAATATAAAGCGGAACCATTTTCATGCCGCGATGTAGGGACATGCGTCATCTATGTTATTATATTAAACATCACTCATCTTTTAATAGTCATTACACACTATATTTCTATTTTTCAGATACTGCAAAATGTATCACCATTGGGTACACTTCCCGGTACAGCGTCGGCGGAGAACCTTAAAAAAGACTAGTCTCTAATATTGACTACTTAAATTATTTTCATATAAATTGGATATACTTAATATATTTTACTAAAATGTTTCTAACGGTACTTTTAATTTCATTTGTCCAAAAATTTCGCCCACCAACGGTTGACCTAAGCCTGAGAGACAGAACACTGAGAAAAAAAAAAAAAAAAAAAAAAGTTTATTATGTTAGTTTAGCTCCTACGTTTCACCCAAAAGAAGAATTCGGTAAAAATAAAATGACACATTAAAATAGTAATAAATGGATATTTAAATAAAAGAGCGAAGAGTAAAAATAAGAATTTTATTATATATTACAATTGTTATCAATCCGTTAACGACTAAACCGAAACCAAATCGCGCGTCACGTGGCGAAGGACGCGCTCTGCGACGCCGCCGCAACACAAAATGGCGGCGCCGCACACCGATAACTGTCCGATGGATACAATTATTGTCATCACGGGCGCATTGGAAGGAAAAAGCAAAGTGAACGCAGCTTTAGAATATCCAAGCGTTATCGCGGAGTGGGAAATGTAACACTATGAAGCAAGTCGAAAGTGAACACCAATACACATCACAATCTAGTATTAAATGCGATCATAACAAGGTCTTTAAAATTCGATGCTCATGGAGCATAAACGTAACAAGAACGGTATTAAACAGGTGGATCATTTACAACTAAAAATTTACTTTTCAACACATCAATGATGACTCATTGGGAACATATGTAACTGTACTCAGAAAACTGAAAATGCTCTAGGTCGCCAGTGGAATTTGAACAGTTCACCTCTCGAATCACATTCGATAGTTTTTTGTAAAACACAATAAGATACAAATTTATGGCACTTAGGCGAAGCAGTGAACATTATCATCAAATTACTGAGGTGACAGGTATTTATTAAATGAATCTTGTGCGTATGGGACACATTAGTTTCTCAACAAATCTTCCAAAGACCGGGCTATAAAAAGTCAATTTAATAATTTACGTATATTAGAGCAAAACAATAAGTCGATACCTTAATATTTTGTTTTAATTTACATAAATTGTGCTGTTCGCTTACATTTTAAACATTTTTAGTAGATGTGAAGACAAATTCATGCATGTGACCAGACACACTTCAAATGCAAAAAATCAGAAGTAATCTACTTAAGCTATAAAATCTATTATTGAAACAAAACTATAAATGGAACGGCATTTAATACAAGGTGTGATCTATTTTATAACAATTATATTATTCTTATAGCCATATAATTCGTTTTCCTCGTTATTTTCGTCTAATGCCACTTATAATTATTGAAAGCTGTTCGAAAAAAAGTTCTTATTTTAGTGTTAGTGAAAAAAAAAAGAATGTGAAGTGTACACATTAAATTGTAAATTATAAATTAAGTTATGATAATAAATATTTTACGCTGAAACAAAATTGTTTTAAATTTAAAATGATTTTATAGGTAGGTATTGCTTAGACTATAATAATAACACCTTAATACTTTTGATTTTTAAGATATAATCTAAATATTCTAAAAAGATAAGAAATGTTAGCTTCTAATGGTTTTGCTGTATGGTGTCCTTTTAAGTCTAATTAAATTCACAGTTAGATTAAAAAGAAAAAAATGTCACAACCACGATTTCTATATTGTGACATATTAATGTTTAATTAAATTTTAAATTGTATTAACAATAGAACCAAAAACGTTGTTAATTCTTTTCGAGACAGTTGTAAAGATAACATGACCCACACAACCTAAGCAGTTAACATGCTTAGATAACTCGGTAATTTTATATACAGGTTGGCTTTTCTAAAGGTGCCCAAATTCAAACAGGAGGTTCAGGCTCGGTACTATAAACGTATTTCGAAACAAAAACAATTTTTTTTTCTAAAAAATTTAAATTCTATTCTCTAAAAACAGAACTTGTTGACAATGCGTTAGTCATTCATAAATGCGTAATATACTTTTGAAACGAACTTGTGTGCGAGTTAGTTATGAATGATCGCGCTTAAAAAAGAACTGACTAATGACAATTTTTTTGAAAAAAAAGTTTTTATTTCAATAAACGATTATACTACCGAATCTGAACCTTCTGTGTGAACTCTGTATATTGCTGGCAATACATTTGAATATTAGTAAAAATTGATTCTTAACAATAGTACATAAAATTTCAATGTCATTTTCATGATTTATGGCGTTTCAAAACAGTGAATTCAACAAGTTTTAATTGTATAAGGCAATATTTTATTTGTACATTTTTTTCTATCCATTGCATGATTAACATAATGGTATAACAAATTAACTTTAACTTGGTGCCATTGATTTGCATTCATATTGCTCAAATCCGAATTAATAAGATATCAATGTTGGAGTTTGCCGCATTACACACTAATCATATCTCAAAATGATATTGTAATTATTGCTAGTCAGGATTGAGCTACTAATAATAATTATTCCACGAGTTAATAACCAATGACGCTAAACTAAAACCGGTTTAAGAAGAATTAACATCGTAAAAAATATTCAGTATCTAATAAATATAATTTTAAAACTGGCAACAACTACAGAACTGACACAAAGGTCGTGAAGAAAATACAGAAGATACCTTGTGAACAAATGATATAAACTATGAAATTCACAACAATGTTTCCCATGATGACGCCAAAAAAAGACATTAAAACACTCCCAAAATTTTTCTCATTCAATACAAACAAATTGGCACTTTTTTTTAATAAATTTCTACAATACAAAAGTTTCGGATATGATTTGGTATTAGAAAAATATTTATGTACAACAGACATTTCTGTGTTTAAGAATGAATTCATTTCAAACAGAGTATTATTTTTATGGGCATTTTTTAAAACCATTTTAAGTACGTACTACAAATGTGCAACTCAACAAGTGAATGAATTTCAAGTAAACTGATAATTTTGATATAAAAACCCTATTGATAAAACATTCCACTATTTGTGCAACAACCTAAAAGATTGTATAACTAATAACCGAACTAAGAAGGCTTCAACTTGAAATAAATGATTTACGTTATTATAATTAAATGTTAATTACAATTTACAGATCACCCTACAAAGATTTAATCTATGTAAAATGTTTTTATTGTCCCATTAATCTAAAATAGCTGAAAATCGAAAAACAGATTATATAAAGGTATTTTCCCAAATCCGTGACATAATTTTTTGATGATGAACATACATGAAATTATTAAATTTCATTGTAAGTTGTTTTAAAAACATTTGTCAATTGAGCAAGACATATTTATCCTTTTATTAATCAACTAAAACATAAAGGGCGAACAGGCGATATAAATTTGATTCTCGTAAAATTCAAACGTTTCGTAGGCTACTCAGTAACCGTTTAAATGTATACATAAAACAGGAGAGTATTTGTAACAAAGGGTGCACACTATGAGATAATTTCAAAGCGTTAAAAAGCTCAGGTCAGATTAATCGAACAATATAAATATATATAACAACTAATACTAAACTGAATTTGTCTAAACAGCTGTACAAATCGAACTATGAACGATCCCCCACCAATACAGCTGATACCATAAAATTTAAAGCAAAACAATTAGTCTAAAATGTATATATATTTATATGTATTTAGTTACTCTGTTAACAACTATCATCGACTTACCGTGCAGCTTTCAGTATTGTTTTATCGCAAAGCTGTGAAAACCCACATTTATCAACAACTTAATCACACACCGGCGTTCGTTTCACATTGAATTTACACGAATGACGCTAGAAGGGCGCGCTCCGTCCATAAGCTCTTGCCGCTTGGGATATGTCTAACGATTTGAGGTACGACGAGAGAGCGGTGCGGGCTGCATATCATTTGACATGCACCCTGTTGGCAGTTCGGGTATTCCCCTCGCAATCACACTAGCGAACAACACTTCACGAGGTCACTTGTCGGGGCGCAAACGTCCGCGGCACCGCGCGCGTCTGGCACTGGGCGATGCGCTTGGCACAGATGCCAGTCCACAAGAGTCCGGGCCGCGAGTGGCGCTGGTCGACGGGCCATCACAAGTGCTTGTGCTTGCCGTTGGCGCTGGGCGTGGGGGGGCCCAGAGTGCGCTCGGCCGCAGCGGCAGCAGCTCGCTCCATGCCCTTCTCGAGGCAGGTCTGGTAGGCCGGCTTCATCAGCTGCAACGGGGAGAGTTTGAATTTGTATTATGTGTGGAAGGGCTTGGGTAGTAAGTCTCAACGACCACTGCAACCCAGAAGATTTATATATGTAGCCTTTACTTCGAAAACATTGCCCCCTTACTATAGGACAACATTGTCCTGTGTTCTAGGGATGTTTAACATAATATGTTAATTTTATATATTATATAAATAAAATAAAGAACAATGCCCATTTTTGACCTGATTGTGTATAGAAGTGAAATAAATATTAAAATTTAGCTAATTTCATTTTATAGTAATTACACTAATCACAATGTTAAAAGAAGGTCGGGAAAAAATATTTTTTGATATTTCTTTACGCTTATTTTAGTTACAGGGTAAACATATTACCATGTTTTGAACGCACCTTAACAATCCTTTGCATAGGACGTTCCATTTTTCACACTACCTACTTGACTGTATTCTACTTTTTCTGAATTTTGTACGTGATTTTACGTTTTAGAGAAGTGAGTAAGCACGTAATTAACAGTATTTGTATAAAAATTAAGATCAATCTTATTAGTAGTACAGATTTATTAAAAACAAAATAATAAATTATTAATGCAGCATGTAATAAAGTTCGCACGGCTGCGTAAATGGATTTTTTTGTCATTTGACAGTTCTGCGAGTGATCTGTGATTCATACTCATTGGTATTCGCCAGTAATAGTGAGTATTTATGTTTATTACTTTTAATCTAAAAATATCAATCACGTCCTAATCAAACTAACAACGCTCCTATAAATTATACCTGTGACATAACACAAACAACTGTTCAAAAGATCTATATATCCAAAATGTTTTTTTTTTATGCGAAAAGTGGTCAAACGAGCAGACGGTTCACCTGATGTTAAGTAAATACCGCCGCCCATGGACATCTGCTACACCCGAGGGTTACAGATGCGTTGACAACCTTTTGAAAATTGCGCTCCGGCTACCTCACTCACCAGACGAAACGCGAAAGTAATTGTCATCCTTCCACTTTACGCTGGTCTTCTGTGAGGTCGTGGTACTTACCCGGACGGGCCTGCCCTTTCGTGCAACAGCCGAGGCTGCTGCGTGGCCCTACCACCGTAAATGTATTATAAACTCAATATATGTTTTTTATTTCAGATTACTGAGGAAGATTACATTTGTAAATCTTGTAATGAACTCTTTATGAGAAGAATAAACCAGAAATTAACAAGCTGTGATGTTACTCAAGCTTCAGGATTATCTCAACCAGGCCGAAGAACACAGTTTTTGATAATCCTTCAGAAAAGCAAAGACAGATAAATGCTATTATTCAAACAAGTTCACAACATCACATATTCATGTTTCTACATTGTTAATCATTTGCCAGTATAAAACTTGATACTATTACTCTAGATTATTTCTCTTTTGTATTTTAGATGTAAATTATTATATCTGTTATTAATTGACTGATGCTGTAATAATTTTAACCATAAATAAATACATAATTGATTTTTTTTTAAATATATTTTTAAGATGAATAATAATTATTGCTTTATTATTTCTTTTGTAGATATTTGTAGAGAGTTGTAAGAGCGCTGCCACACATATTAGGCATGTTGCTGAAGTTTGAGGTGTTTCTACTACTGAAGATAATTTATTTTTTATGTTTCTGAGATTAAGTTATTAGTGAACTTATACTATTTGCATTAGGTACCAAATAAGGTAAGCCAAATCCTATTATGGCGAACATATTCGCTTTCATGGATCATATAGAATAGAAATATGTAGGGACCCGTGTGACAAGTGGTGACATAACACTAATAAGAGGAAAAATTCTAGTCCTGGCACATTGAAAGAAAACAATATTATGTCTACGTTTTAATAGAAAATAATGTGTCTGGCAGAGCTAGTATAGTCGAATACTGTTGTAATTGTTTAGTTGGTTGGCGAACCATAGGATGTTGCACTCATGTTATGACTAGTGTGGTACTTCGGATGAACTATCAAGAAAATACCTCTGTTATAGCAGAATTTCTGGATAACATAGTTATAAGACATTTAAGTGAAGATGATGATAATTAATAAATCATTCCACTGTAACATAGTGTTTTATTTTTTCCCCCGTTTTATTCATCAGGTATTATAATTATTATTATGTATTGTAGTGCAGGCCAATGAAATGTGTAGGGCAGATAAATGGTCACTTACGTTTTTTTAGTAAGTACTTATGTGAGCTGTTGAAACAGCAGATAATGCTCTTCACTCAATTTATAGTGAATAATCGAGTCTAAGCAGTGACGTAAGGGCCGTAGGTTTCTAGGAATTCACAAGTAAAAAAGACATTTTAGGCCTTAGATAGGCTAATATTATTATTTTCGAATAAACTTGAGCGTAAACAGTTACTTCTAGCACATTTAATTCGTTATATTAGGTACTGCAAATCTTAACCTAAAAAGTAACATTTTTTAATAATTTTTGGACTTCGTAGACCAGCAATCGTAAAAATGATTATATGATATTAATTTACTAACTTAAAGGTAGTCTTTCTGCTATACCTTGTAACTATACATACACTTTCATTATCAGGTTTTTAAATGTATGGGAAGTGGGCATTGTTCTTTATATGTTATATTAATTTCACGTGAACAAACACCCACATTAGAAACACATCTGAGGTTCACACAAATTGTTGTCTCTGTATTGCCGAAGTCAATACCTCGGAAACGATGCCATGAAGTCATCAACGGGAAGATAGTTTCAACTTATTGGGTTAAAAAGTTATAAAGTAAAAGTTATAAAGTAAGTTATAAACTTTGTAATATATGTATTGTTCTTGTCGGTAAAAGATTATAATGTTTTCGGCATGTACCCTCGTCTAATGTGTCAGTCAATAAATGGCGGTTGTACTATTCAACGCGTTTTAATATCTGTTCCCGAATCCCTCAAATAATGAAGGAGATTACAAACTTATAGTGACAGAATGGGCAGATCTGTCTGGGATCGGATCAATTACCACAAATTCATAGAAGACCGGTGTGAAGTGAAAGTGTTATACTTCTGCATTTCCGCACTTTACTATAAGGTGGCCAAAATTTCACTTAACATCAGGTAGCTGGCTTGCCACCTTCTCCCTTAAAAAAATGTCAGTATTAATAATATTTGAAGTTTTGGTTGACATTTATAAAGTCAGTATTGAAGTTATTAAACTTGGAGAGCCATCTAGATATGCAAATTTTTTACCACAGGTGACAACAATTATTACCAAATTTTTTGCTGTCTGTAACAAGTCAAAAGTCAACAGAGTCAAGTGTAGGTTAATTACAATATAATTGGAACATATAAAACTTACAAGTCATCTACACATGTACAGGTCATGACTGCATTTATTTAAATATTGTTTACAATTATATTATCTTTAACATGACAGTATATTTAATAACAATTTGACAGTTTTATAAAGAATAACATTTTCAGACTTAAAATATATTGCTTTGGGATCTCTTATGAAATGATTTTTCTACATTTCTTATTACTTATAAAGTTTAAAATCTTAAAAAAACATTATCTACGATAAAATGGAGGTTTTTGTGCAAACAAAAGTTTATTGCCCCATAATGGATAGACGAAAAAGTTCTTTTTACTTACATTATCCCATAGCCAATTGGCGGTGTCATCAATAGTGACACCAAACTCCCTCATCTCTCCACTGTACCTGTGGAGAAAAAAAGGAATATAAAATTTACCCTTCTTGTACTAACCGATGTTAATGCTTTCAGTTCCCTATTTAAGCTTCTCGAACAAAACCAGTGGGCTACCAGAACCCAAGGTTTGAGGCCCTCCCCAGTGGGCAGGGCCGCGCATGTGCTCATGCGTGCGTTGGCTAAGGAGTAAATATTTACCAATATTTAACCAATATTTTGAAATGAAACTATTGAAATAAAAAATTCAAAACATTTTTATTCTAGACGCTTGCGAGTAATTACGAAACGTCGAAATTTTACGGATATTATCGCGTTTAATTAGATTTTTCTTCAGCTTGGGATCCATAATATATAAAATTAAATTCAAGCACACCAAAACACTACACTGCCACTCAAAATACAATAAGCTCTATCTGCATAGACCGAAATAAAAATAATAAAATAATTGACGGTAGCCCTAGTTCACTATGACATATAAAATGTGAAATAGCTAATAGTCCACCCCATGACCATCAACGCTGAAAAGGGTTTGAAACGTCAGGAATTTAAAAATCTAATAAAATTAATAAAATAGTTTCATTTCACATTTGCGTAAAAACAAGAAATCAATATTGTTTCATGAGAATAAATAAAACATATAAAAGCAATTTGGATTAAGTTTATACGCCGTAAGTTATATCGCTTATAGTTACCCAAACATACATATTGTTAGATAATAAAAAATAAAGGGTAAAAATTGAGTTATATATTGAAATAGATAGAAACTAATTTCACAAAAGAATAAGCTAAATACCAAAGCTTTTGCTTAATTATGTGGTCTTCAAGCAGCAACTTGATTAAATTTCCATAGATTTTAAATTTGTCTAACTATAAGAAACAAATGTTGTAACTGATATTGACTTTTGTACACATAACACATTATTTCCTGGTATAAGGAATTTCGATTATAAGTATACTGTATGGTGGTATTTTCTCTTAAAAACTCTTAAATAGGAGACAGTACCTGATATAGGCCCACATGACGAGGGTTAGTAACGCCACGCCCATCGCGAGGTTGCAGAGGTTGGCGAATGGGTATACTCCGACTAGGCCGAATATACCGCTCAGCACGTAGAAGAACATCGCAATGGCGAAGAAGACGGACGGCGTCCGCGCCGCCTTGAAGATGTTCTTACTCTCGTTGTGTGCCTTGAACTGCTGGAATTGCTCCTCCAGGTCCTGGAGCGAGGTAGGTTTTTAAACAAAAAGCAGCGATACTGTCGTTGTTTTAGTCCAATAACTATAGATTCCATTAAAGGGAAAACCATGCTGGACGGAAATCTTCGTGAGAAGTTTATGGCAGTTGGCTTAAATTGGTTATCATATAATAAGATGGGTTCTGAACTTTGGGATGATAAATTAATAGTTTTAGATAGTTCCAGTCAGGCATGTTAGATTTTCTGGAAAAGGAATATCTTTAATTCATTATAATCAAGCAACCTAACACTCATGCCAGCAACAATGGAATTGTTAATTTTAAATGTTGACCTCTCACATGCTCAGCGGTAAATGAAAACAACTTGAACCTGCATATTTTCGAAATAATGAAGAAAAAATAGGATTTGGAAGATATATGAAGTCTGTAATACGTAATAGGCCCGCGTGGTGGATTATGGCCAGTGGCGTATCTATATTTTCGAAAAAAGAACAAAAAAAAATCAATCAGGCCACAGTGGAGTCGCGCGGTGTAGTATGCCCAGCAGTGGGATATGTATAGGCTGATTTTTTACTACTTTATATAATTGAGCACATACGTTGACCAGCTGCTCGCAATAGGACTGGCTGAACTCGTCACCGCCCATCTTGCGCTTGGAGTGGAAGGCGTGCAGCGCCTTGTCGCGGACTCGAGCGTGCTCCGCCTCTAGTAGCAGCGTCTGTAAATAGGGCTTCGCCCCCCCGCACACTTCCTCCATCAGCGTCGTGTACACCTCCTTTGCCTCCGCCACTGCTGTAAGATTGTTCGCTTCCGCCGTTGCCTGCAAATGGGGTACCATATTAGTATTTAACATTAAAGCCACTACTGCATAAATGTAGTAGATATGAATATACTCAGTGGCGCCGTTGCCAAGCTTATTGGCTTCGGCGTCGGGGTCGTGGGTTCGATTTCCGCACGGGACTATACATCAATCATATATGAACCACTATGCATAAATACGTGTGATTTATGCAGCGGGCTCATTTGTAATTTAATGGAGAAGTGACTTTATATATCTTTTAAACTTAACAATATTTAGACAGTGTTTAGTGTGTTGGTTTTTTACGCATCAAGATACGAATTTATAGGTCATCAGTAAGACATGAAAATACTGAAGAGATCAGCAAGTTCACCGAATGTCGAATCATGAGATCTTCATCACAGAAGCTTGGATTTTGGTTTAAGTAAAGTATGCTTTACCACAAGCATGCTCTTGGGCTCCGGCAGCTCGTTGCCCTTGTATATGTTCATGTAGGACTTGAAGTACTGGGGCAGATCCTTGGCCTTGACCCGCTGCCCGTTGATCAGTTTGGGGACTAGGTTGTCTGGAGCCAGCAGCATTGGCACTAGCTGCTGCAGGGCGCGCTTGAACTCCGCCTCGATGTCTGCAAAAAAGTAAAGTAAAAAAGTAACAGCCTATACATGCCCCACTGCTGGGCAAAGGCCTCCTCTATATAGAGGGTATCAGGGCATAGTCCACCACGCGGCCCCACTGCGGATTGGCGGACTTCACATATCTTCGAAATATTTTTTTTTTGTTATTATTTCGAAAATATACAGGTTTCCTCACGATGTTTTCCTTCACCGCGGAGCACGTGATAAGATGATGTCTGCAAAGGAGATGTAATTTCTTGTTCTTCATAAATTTTGTTTATATAATCTACTTTATCTTATTTATCATTTTTTGTTGGTTTATTTATAACATGGGGAGCTAAAGCTATTAAAACGAAAGCTATTTAATATGTATAAGGAACATCTAAATTGAACTAGAGTTTGTTATTAATCGAGTATGAGAACACAATGATATGCATTACTTTAAAATTTAATTTAAAACAGCTAAGAATTAAAATTAAAATTTTATAAAAATATTCAAATTGAACATAAGCCTATGTCCACATTATGTACACTTTCAAAGGATTTCTTGTGTCCATAATATTTAAATGAAATTATTCTCTATTATATTGGAATCACAATTGTTTATGTGTACCTGACAGTCTGCCATTGAAGTTGGGGTCTGTGGCTACCTTCAGGCCCGGATGAGGCATGAGGAAGCAGGCAATCTCCGAGAAGCAAGAGGTTATGTGCTTCCGAAGTGACTGCAGCTCAGGGTGTTGTTTGTCTGACACCTGGGGATAAGGATTGTAGAATATGAGTTTTAAAATTTAGATAAATTCTGATTGTTTCAAACATGATAATTTCTTTTACTGATTAAACCTACTATTTATAGATCCAATTAAAAGAAAAAGTTGAGATACACTAATATATATACATATACAGCGTGTCGTTACCATCGCGACAATAAATGAACACACGTCTAACGCTACTTGCCAATAATCATAAAAAAATATTAACGTTAAACAAAATCCATAATTAAAATTTTTTTTTCAAACAAACTAATTAAGTATAAAAGAAACAAAATTTGTAACACCTATACAATTCGCGCCACAGCGTTGCATAACAAGCCTCTCCTTCTAACAGTATGTTTTGTCTCTTTTAAATTCATTCAACCCATTCATATGCTTTGTGACCTTTACAAATGAACTTTACGTTACGCTTTTATAGGTAAGGAAGGATGTTCTAAAATTCTTTGTTTTGGAAAATTTAATAACTCTGTAAATATTGATGTTTAAAGAATTTAAATGTTTAATACAACTTATAAATGAGTTGCGTATAAATCACGCATTTTTTGAGATAAGTTCAAATGAATGTAATTAATTACTCAAGAGTGATTTTAAATGTTTATCATTTTTTATATAACATTATTTATGTCTAGAATTTAATAAAAAAAAATTAATACACTTAGAAAAGTCACCCTGTATAATTCTTCTGTATGTATGTATGTCACTGAATTCTTCCTAAACGGTTGGACCGATTTTAATGAAAAGTGATTAATGATAATTAAAATAAATACTACTTTGAGTGAGTATTGTGTTATTTTTAAGATCTGCTTTTTTCGGTGGTAGGGCCACGCAGCAGCCTCGGCTGTTGCACGAATGGGCAGGCCCGTCCGGGTAAGTACCACGACCTCACAGAAGACCAGCGTAATTGTATGGAAGTATGACAAATACTTTCAAGTTTCTTCTGGTAAGTGAGGTAGCCGGTGATCAATTTTCAAAAGGTTGTTAACGCATCTGTAGCCCTCGGGTGTAGCAGATGTCCATAGGCGGTGGCATTCACTTAACATCAGGTAAACCGTCTGCTCAATTGGCTACTTTTCACATTAAAAAAAAATCTGCTATTCGACCGTCAGTTTTTATTATCCACTATTTGGTGAAATATTCACAATGCCTCTTATAAATTGGTCTCAAATAAAATGATTACCCGAAGCCTGCGCTGCAGTATGGCCTGGCCGCCTTCGGCGCCGTAGGGCGCCTCGTAGGGGAAGCTCCAGTCGCGGACCAGGAATTGGAGACGCTGGAACGGGGTCCGGCCGCTGTCTTCGAGCGCCAGGCGGCCGTACTCTGTGAACAGCTGCGCCATAGTGGCTCATTGAGTATTTGTTGGCTGAAAAACTATAAAGGCAGGGTTGGACTTTGAATTGAAGACCGAGGAGATTTTATTGGCCGAGGGAACCATGAGCTTGGGACATTTAGATGATTTAAAAGGGTGCTGATAAAACAAGCTAAAATATTATAATATGTGTGTAAAATATTAATACTACAAAATCCTGCTAAACTTCATATGGGGCCAAAAATGGTTGAAAAATCAAGTGATGCTGTGTGGTTACTTATGTAACATCAAAAATACAATTGACCAAAGTACATGAAGTAAATAGACTGTGATAAATTTGATATACAGTAATAATAAAATCTCTATTTCATTAAGATAATAGAAATTTCTAAACATTACATCCTAGCGATAAATAACGAAGAATAAAGTTGATTGAAACTAGTAGTCACCTGCAAGTGTTGCAGATCGTCTTCCTGGATATTCTGCGAGAGGTTGTAGATCTGTACGGATGAGAGCATCGTCGATAGGGCGAAGACCGTTGCGCAGTCACGCACCGTGGACTCGCTGTCGAAGGCGCCCTGCGTGTCCAGTAGAATGATCGCCACCTGAAAAGACCAATGTCACAATTACACTCTCGAGACAAAGTTTCAGTTTATAAAATGTGAAAAACATTATCTCTAACGACTCTTATTAAGAGATGCCGATGAATACTTATGACTTTGTTGATTCCGGACCTAGTCGTCCCGCTGTCTGTCTGTCCCTATGTATGCTTGGATCTTTAAAACTACGCAAAGGATCTTGATGCGGTTTTTTTTACTAGATAGAGTGATTCAAAAGGAAGGTTTATATGTATAATATATTGCATCCATGCAATGCCGGGGCGATTCGGTAGTAGTAATAATCATTAACATAAGAGGTCCATTTCGGGATATATCAGCTCATATAACAGAAGAGCTGGATGAACGGTTCAATGTGGAAATTAGTCGTAAGGTCTGTTTCACCTTCTCGCCGCTGGGCAGCGTGGTCTTGAAGACCTCCGACCACATGAGGATGCCGGTGGTGTCCCGCTCGGAGCCCCCGCGCCAGCTGAAGCCCTGCAGGGGCTCGTCCTCCGTCCCCAGCCAATCGCCGCCGCCGCCGCCCGGACCGTACTGACATTAAAGTGACAAGTTAAATTAGCCGTGAAACACATACGTACATACGTAGTTTTAAAATACAACCGATTAAGGATTATGTCCGTAACATGAATTGATCGCGCAGTGCTCGACGCGGAGAGAATTGGAAATGGCTATCGTTTGGAACTCTAAATATTTCATTAGTCCTATTTGTTTTTATGTAACTACTCTATTTCGAACTGCATGTTTCTTGTCGCTGCGTTGACCCTATTTAAAGGTGGGTGTCCTCACTCACTACAGAAACGCGGAAGTGTATTTCCACTTCACGCCAGTTTTCTGTGAGCCTGTTACTTCTACCTAGTATTCGCAGTAGTACTACTGGTTGCACGATTACCCGGACGAGCCTGGCTAAACGTGCAGCAGCCTCTGCTGTTGCTTGGCCGTACTATCTCCACCTCCTCCTGCTTCCAAGTCCCCACGTCCGAAACTCTGCTTTTCGCAACAGCATCTCCGTACATATATAATAGTACAGCGGCGGAATTCCTGTGGTAGGGTCAAGCAGCAGTTTTCACGGTGGCGCGAATGGGCAGGTCCGTCTAGGTAAGTACCACGACCTAACAGAAAGCCCACATAAAGTCGAAGTATTATGCTTTCGTCTGATGAGTGAATCAACGGGAGCCCACATAATTGAAACGTGACAACGCGTCTGCACCCCGGGGCTTAGCAAATGTCCACGGGCGACGGTTATGACTCAACATCAGGTGAACCGCCAGCTCGTTTGCCACCTTTTCGCATAGAAAAAAGTACCGTCTTCTTTCTACTACATCGGGACGCCGTTCCACGTACCTTGTGGTGCATGTAGCGCAGGAAGCAGTTGAGGATGAACGACTTGCCCTTCCTAAACGCGCCCGCCACCGACAGCACCACCACCGCCCTGTCGCGAACATCCTCCCGCAGCAGCAGCTCCTGGAGCGCCTCCTCGTTCAGCACGAACGTATGGTCCGGCCCAGTGTCCACGACCTGGACGCCGCGAGGGCCCGGCCGCGGCGCCGGAGACGCCTTCTCGCTAACTGCCGGCACAAAACTCCAGCTCGTCAGCTCAGGGGGCACGTGGTTGGAATCACCAAACGTACTTATATACAATAACGGTGTCATTGTCATCCTAGGTGTAGTCGGAGCAACGTTTGAATCGTGTTGTATTCGATTTTGGCACTGTTTTTCACCGTACCTCATTATAATACTGTCATCATCATTCTAGGTGGGGTTGGAGCGAAATGTGAATCGTGTTATACGCGGTTTTGACCACGTTGATCTTTATATCGTACTGTTGCACTTTAGGATGTCCAAACGGTATACAGGGTGGCTTTTCTAAAGGCGCCCAAATTCTAAAGGCGCCCAAATTCACACAGGAGGTTCAGACTAGGTAGTATAATTGTTTATTGAAATAAAAACAAACTTTTTTTTTTTAAAAAATTGCCCTTCCTTAGAAAATAGAACTTGTTGACAATGCGGTAGTCATTCACTGCGTCAGATGAAGCTTTAATAGTCTCTGAACTGAAAGCAAAAACATCAGTTAATTCAAGAAGGTAGTCATAAATGCGTCGTATACTTTTGAAACGAACTCGTGTGCGTGTTAGTTATGAATGATCGCGCGTAAAATAAATTTGTTGCCCATAAATCACATACTTTTTTAGATAAGTTCAAATGAATGTATTTTTTTTAATTAATTACTGGTGATTTTAAATATTTATCATTTTTATATAACATTATTTATGTCTAGAATTTGATTAAAAAAATGGATATACTTTAAAAAGCCTCCCTGTATATGACACGCACAAATGCTATATTCCAATTGGATAGGTAAATAAGTCTTTGTGACGATATAGGTATTTTCGACCGACTTCAAGAAAGGTTTAATTTTATACATATAATTGCATGTTACTTTGATTGATATCGACTCCGGAGATACATAAGATAACTCCTTAAAATCAAATAGAAAGTGTAATTGAGATATTTGAACTTTTGAAGGCTGTTTTGTTTTTAATAGAAATGTTTTACTTGATGTAAGTAAGAATTACATCTTTGTTTACTCTCTACTTTATAAAAAAGATCCTATTATTTTTAAGCGTACTATATTTCTATAGCTTAATTTGAAAAATAAACCCGAAGAAACGTTGGCAACCCTAGATGGAGTGGGCTGGTGCCAAGCTTCGAGGCCAGGCAGAGATCAGCCGACCACCATTCATGGATTTTTATATATTACAAGTGTAGTAAGTATGTTACAACTGAAGGCAAACGAGATAAGACTCTACTCCATAATAATAGGTGTTTATAATCTGCAATCTTCTTCACTTACTTCCAGACTTACGCGGTAACTATTCAACGATACCCTTGAAATTTATAAATTTTATAATTAACTAGCTGTCCCGGCAAACTGCATGCAATGATCCAGGCAACTATAGACCTATTTCCATATTGCCATCTCTTAGTAAAGTTTTTGAAAAGCTAATATTAAATCAACTTTTAGTTCATTTTAATGTGAACAAAATCTTTCACGATGAGCAATATGGATTCACTAAAGGCAGATCGACAACAGATGCGGGCGTCGCACTTGTCAAACATATTTATAACGCCTGGGAAAGGTCACAAGATGCAATAGGTGTCTTTTGTGACCTTTCAAAAGCCTTCGACTGCGTAGACCATAAAACTATTCTTCAAAAGCTAGAATATTATGGCATTCGTGGGATCGCCCTCAATCTCATTGCCTCTTACCTTAGTAATAGAATTCAAAAAGTATCTATAAATGATGTTAATTCCACTGGGTCCCAGATGAAAATGGGAGCCCACAAGGATCAATCTTGGGCCCATTATTATTTTTAGTATATATTAATGATCTCCCCTTTTATGCCAGTGGGTTGTGTGATGTTGTACTGTTTGCTGACGATACATCGCTTATTTTTAAAGTTGACCGAAACGTATTAAATTATGACGACGTGAATAGTGCGCTTTCACATATCCTCCACTGGTTTACTATTAATAATATGGTATTAAATGCCAAAAAAACCAGATGTATTCTTTTTACCCTTCCCAGTATAAGAAGGAAAAGTTTTAGTTTAATATTAAATAACGTACCCATTAATCCAGTTGAGTCTGCTGTATTTCTGGGAATTACAGTAGATTCAAAGCTCCAGTGGAGTCCCCATATATCATCTCTTGCGAATAGGCTGAGCTCCGCGGTTTTTGCGATTAGAAGGGTTAGGCAGCTAACAGACATCGCCACTGCCAGACTTGTTTACTTTAGTTATTTTCACAGCATCTTGTCGTACGGCATTTTGTTGTGGGGTAGTGCATCAGATATAAATACTATATTTATTCTTCAAAAAAGAGCTGTCCGAGCAATCTACAATATCGGAGCCCGGAATTCACTTTTTCAGAAGATCTTTTCAAAGAGGTTAATATACTCACTGTTGCTTCTCAATACATTTATTGTAATGTTTTGTATATACGTCATAACCTTAATTATTACCTAAAGAATAGTGACAGACATAAAATAAACACTAGAAATAAGGACAAACTTACTACGCCATTGTTTCGTCTACAAAAAGTAAATAAGTCGTTCATGGGGCAAAGTGTACGCATGTATAATAAAATCCCACAGTCGATATTAAGTCTGCCGCTTGACCAATTTAAATGTAAAATTAAAAATCAACTGATGATTAAAGCATATTATACCATTTCGGAATATCTCGACGACGCCAATGTGTGGAGTTAATACTGTTGATACTCACGTAGGCTAGAATAAGACTATTATACCTGTATATTATATTGTACCCTGATATTTTTGAAAAAGAGCAACTGTTGAGTTTCTTGCCGGTCTCTTCTCAACAGAAACCGCTTTCCGAACCGGTGGTACCTTACGAACCTATACACATAATCTTTGATGTAAAATTTGACGATTCATAAGAGCGCGCAAGCGTCTATTTGAATAAATATATTTTGATTTTGATTTTGATTTTGATTTTGAAAACGTTGTTTTGCCACATAAATTATTTGTAGGGTAGAAAAAAATGTTTGGGGTGGACCGCCCTTAACATTTAGGGGGATGAAAAATAGATGTCCGATTCTCCACCCTGGCCGATATGCACACAAAATTTCACGAAAATCGGCCGACCCGTTTCGGAGGAGTTCAATTACAAACACCGTGACACGAGACTTTTATATATAAGATATACTTTATTTATTTAAAGCTTAAATAAAATTGTTTAGAGATAATTATAATTATAGAAGCTTTTGGTGCGGTTCAGTTTTAGAATAAGCGTAAATCAGAAAAAACATTGCATCATTGATATGAATTGAATGACTCAGCGTGGAGGCGCTTTTTAGAAGATTTACCGCCTCCTTGTTATATTATTTACGTAAAATTGTCCCCTCATTGTTGGTTTGTTTCCCCAAATGTTTAAATATACTCAGAGGTTTATCTGGCTAAAAAGTATTCAAGTAGAGGTCAATTAACCTGATTCTTAAGCCATAGGTTGTGGGCTCGATCTCCACAACTTCCGAAATATTAACTTCTGAACATTATGAAAAATATTGTTTGATGTATATAGCGTTTTTCTAGTGTCTGGGTGTTTATATATTTATAATATGTATTCATTTACAACAAAAAAAAGTATGTTTAAGTATGTTTATCAGTTACCTAGTATCCATAATACAAGCTTTTCTTAGTTTAGGATTAGATAACATTGTGTAAGTATGTCGTAGAATATTTTTCATCAAAATAAAAGTAAGCATAGTTAATATATGTTTATCAGCTGCCTAGTACCCACAGTACAAGCTTTGCTTAGTTTGGGACTTCATAATATGCGTCAAAAGTATGTCTTTTTATGTGAAAAAGAGGCAAACGAGCTGGTGATTACCCTTATGTTAAGTGACATCCGCCGCCCATTGACATTTGGCAACACCTATAGGGTTGCGGATGCGTTGCCACCTTTCAATAAAGTGAGCCCCGGCTACCTCACTCACCAGACGAAACGCAGTACAATACTTCCCCTTCACGCCTCTCTTCTGCGAGGTCGTGGTACTTACACGGTGGGATCTGCCCATTCGTGCAACAGCGAAGACTGTTGCGTGGTCCTACCACAGTCTTTAAGTATTTAATTTCTTTAAGATGACACGATCGGCACAGTTTAGTGTTATAGTAGCGTTAGGCACGTAAAAGTCAGCACAGCGGGTTGCGTAACGAGGATACTTTGGGTCGAGTCCGCTTTATTATTCAATTAGCGGACTTGGCGAATAAGAGAGGCGGTTGACGTGTATAGACGCCGAGCGGCAGCTTCGTAGTCCACGGCGCAAACCGGGTCAATGGGCGAATGCGCGTAACGAATAGATAATAGACCGTGTCTAAACGACATCGAAGTAAATATAAACGAACTATGTAATGAAGGCATATGAAATAATGCAATGCGGGTAACATGAATTGGATAATGTTATATGTAGTAATAAGCAATGATGTCCATAGCAAAAACAAAAATAAAACTATTACTGTATGTATGCTTTGAAATTAAGATACGGTACTCTTGTACGGCCTTGCAGCAACAACTGTTGCATGAATGGGCAGGTCCGTTCGGGTAAGTACCACGACCTCACGGAACACCAGTGTAAAGTGGAAGTGGGGCTCAATTTATTAAAAGGCGGTAACGTATCTGCAACCCTACGGGTGTTGCAAATGTCCATTATCACTTAAAATGCCAACTCAATTGCCACCTTCTCACCTAAAAAAAAATACCCCTTCCAGCTTCGCCGACCCTAGCTTTGCACGCGAAATGACCATGTGGTAATTTGCCGTTCGTCGACCCTGGACGCGTGGGTCGATGGCGAAGACGCCCCCACGCGTCAGTTGAGATCACATGCCGACACGCGCACGGAACAGGTCGTGCGGGCATGGGTTATCAGGGTTCAATTGATACCGCAGTTAGTAATAGGGCTGGAAAAGTCTGTAAGACAAGACTGCTCGTCGTCTTCGCCTCTTTTAGTTCCGCTTTTAATTCAGTATACTCGAGCGATGTCACTTCAAATCATCGTGACGGCATCAGTGAGATTTTTAATTATAAGTGGTGATTTCAGGCACTTACCGGGAAAAGGAAACAGCGCGTAAG